AACACTTACATTCTGAACTTGGGATGTCCCAAAGTGATATCTAATTGTATCAATATCGTTCTATTGAATATACAGGATATATAAAGATGAATTCATGAGAATATCGTGAACATTTGGCTTTCTTTCAACATGATCTCTATTTTTTTCTACGCATTTCCACCAACGTGAAACTATGGAATGGCTAGGAAATGTCCCGGTTGGGCAGGGAACAGTCATGTTTTAAAAAGGACTGTCCCGGCGATTGTATAATCCCCTTCTGGATGAGGGCCTCCCTTTGCTGTGCACATCAAGGACCATACTTCAGTACCCTGGTCAGGACTTGTTGGTAAAGGCAGGGGACAGTTGTTGGAGCATAGTATAAGATAACAATAGTAAATACAACAATAGTATAATACAACAATAGTATGATAAAACAATATTATAATACAACAATAGTAAAATACAACAATAGTAAATACAACAATAGTATAATACAACAATAGTATAATACAACAATAGTATAATACAACAATAGTAAATACAACAATAGTATAATACAACAATAGTAAATACAACAATAGTATAATACAACAATAGTATGATAAAACAATATTATAATACAATAATAGTAAAATACAACAATAGTAAATACAACAATAGTATAATACAACAATAGTATAATACAATCATAGCATAATACAACAACAGTATAATACAGCACTAGTATAATACAGCAATAGTATAATACAACAATAGTATAATACAATCATAGTATAATACAACAACATCATAATACAACAATAGTATAATACAATCATAGTATAATACAACAACAGTATAATACAACAATAGTATAATACAACAATAGTAAACACAACAACAGTATAATACAATCATAGTATAATACAACAACAGTATAATACAACAACAGTATAATACAACAACAGTATAATACAACAACAGTATAATACAACAATAGTATAATACAACAATAGTATGATACAACAATAGTTCCACGGCCCTCTGCTGACAATGCACTCCCATATCCAATCGAGCACAGGCGCTCACCGCATCGCGCGCTTTCAGCCGCATTTCTGCGGCCGTCTCGAATGCGCTCCTCCTCCCGATATCAGAAAGACACTGGAGCTGTGCGATTGTAAATCGAGGTTGAAAACTAATTTCGTTCGAACTGCTTCTTGTGTTTAGTTTGTTGTCCTTGCTGTTGTCCTTCCCTCGCACGTTTGGCTACGTACGGTGCAAAAGAAATTCAACATCATACACACCCACAACACCTGCCATGCATATGGGAACCTATGCAAGCACTATCCAGGCGTAAACCTCCTCAGCCAGGCTCATGTATTTTTACCTCGTTATGAATAATTAAAAACTCGATAGTGTTCACTAAGAATTTCATTTCATTCCTACATTTGCATATTTTAAAAACAGCTTGTTTTCAATGACCAATGAAACAAGGAACTACTTTACTCTGTATTCTAATTGTGCCCATAATTATCTCTATAGCCACGCAATGGAAGAAGAAGCATTCTCCGGTAAGAGGCCATCTATTGTAAATAAAATAGTTTTTACTTTTGCAAATTGAATAAATGCACCGATAAAGCATGTTGCTGCATGTTGACAGCAAAACATAAACCTGGAAAAATGTATACCATGTGCAACACAAATTTCACAGAAATGAATATAAACACTCGCGGCTCTTGGTGATACAAATTGTACTCATTGAATTAATGTCAATTATCCAATATATTAATAAAAAATTATACATTTAACAAATGTAAGGATGGCAAAAAACTGTTTTTCAATGCTATTGATGTTATTTATTTAGTAATCGCAAGCATTGTTTTGTTTTCTTCTTCTCAATGCATTAAACTCGTGCTATCGTCATCATGTCATCTTACTTATATTTCTAAACTAAACTATTTACACTCGTTTTATTTTACCAATTATATAGCTTTTTTCTGAAGCGACCTGGCCACAAATGACAGCCCAGTGAAAGTGGCTTATTATGTGGAAATGTATCACAGACAAATACTCTAAATGCATGTTTATTCTAAATGTGGAAGGAAAAGCCGGAGGACCCAGATAAACATTCACGTGACCACGTGGAGAACATGGAATCTCCAATTATACAGGTGTCAAGGTTGGGATCGAACCCACGGCCTCCTGCATACCAGGAGAGGGAGTTAAAATCTTGCCACCGTGGCGCCCCAAATTAATTTCAGAAAATAGCGAGTCTTTTGTGTCTGAGATTTCCCTGCAGAAGGAGGATTGCCTTTTTCTCACAAGTCGCCTCCTGACAAATCCCTTGAGTGGCCTTTTTATTCTTTCCAGTCATTGGTGCCCGGACTGAGACCATCATCAACTCACTCACTTCAGTACCTCGTTTAATCTCAGGTGGCTGCCCTCACAATCACGCACTTGGGCAAGGGACAGAATAATTGGAAAGTATTTATATTTTTTGTAAATATCTTAGCATGTCGTGTTCGTCTTAAATGTACCTCAGTATTTCATTATAAGTTTGCATTACTGAATTATTTAACCACAACTTCCAATGAACGTGATCTATGTACCGTTATTCACACTATGCAGTGTTGTTTTACCTGCTATTGTTGTATAAAATGTCTGTTAACTTTTCCTATTCACCTCACTGCAGATAAAGAAGACGAAGAGATCATGAAAACCTTGCTGTTGTGACGGTCTTATTGGCAGGATGCTACTGTATGTTAATCTCACTCTCCAGTTACACTGAAATATACTCCTGATGACTGGCATCATATTCCCTGAAATGATTGCATGAATTTAACTTTTGACATAAAATATACATTTGGCACAATAAGTCCATATGAACCATTTTATAAACAAAAATATATATTTTAGAAATGGAGTACTGTATTTTGTGACGGATTTATGCGCTCGCACATTGTTCGCTGTTACTATATTCTGAATGCGTAAAACAAACTTCTGATTAGACATCCCCAAGACTATTAATGTCGTAATTACATGTGTTTATAAATACAATGGGATGCAAGAAAATGGGTATAGAACAGTTGTTGCAAGCAGATATGCACCCACATGTATTACTAAAATATTGTAGAAAACATATTACGTTGATTGTGAACTTGTTATGTCTTAATATTTCTATACTTATGGACGCACACACCACATACTGGTGGGGATCCATGTGAGAATACAGGTCAGCTACAGAGTGTTTTCAGACATTTCCCAACACACAGCATGCCCTCGAATTACCAGGGCAATTCAGGATCGGTGTGCTTTCCCCATGATACCTATTTTCTTAACATAGCCTCATAATTTCCATGAAGACCAAGTTGAGTCCATATATGGTTTGTAATGTTATGTTTATGTTTTCTATTATAAAACTATACATTACATATTTTTATTTAAAAGCAATGTCAAACATGATTTTAAAAACACCCCTGAAACCGCCGAAAATCAAAAGGCAATTCTATAATACTATAAGGTAAAAAAATATACTATACAAGTAAAAACTATTAGGCAATGGTTTCTGCAATAGACCTTCTGCATAGGATATAGATCCCTATAAAGAATGGCCATAGCCAAATACATCACCCATTGTATATACTTGTTCCTTTTCGGTTAGTGTTATTTCCGAATGTGTTGATTGTTATAATGACATGTACTTGGGCACCACAGACAATGCAGTGTCACAAATTTCACAAGTCAGCATTGTTTTGCATGCAGTAACACGTTTCAGTTTGGGGAGTGTTGTTTTTCTCAATTTAGGGTCCCAAGAAACCCCAAGTTATACACAGGACACGGTATATCCCCTCACATTATATCAAGGATACGCTGTATAAGTGGGCACTACGTAATATTCCTTAAATGGTAAATGGACTTGTGGCATACAGTGTAGTCACTTGCGTATTGTTCATATACCGGCAGATGAGTATAGAATTTGAATGCACGCGGTGTATTTACGGTATTGTGACTTAGAATGTACGCACCACCGTGATGTATTTATATTAATGTTTTGATCAACCCAGTAAACATGTATGAAATTTCATGCACTTAACATGTATTGTTTAATAGATGGAATTGTGTATTTTAAAATAAACATTGTAAAATGAACATTTGTATCTGAACATTGCTTCCATTGCAAATTTAATACAGGTATGCATTTTTTTGTCTTTATAATTAGTGTACAGAAAATTTTAATGCAGAATTGTGTTTATAATGAAAAGGTTAAACAATGAATTTAATGGCCATTCTGGATTAAGAAATACACATTGTACAACTCACATTCGATTTTACATTTATTATATTTAAATATACTGTCGTAATCCCTAAAAAGATGTAATCATTTCAGACAGGGCTTCATGAATTACAAAATAATTTTAAAATGTCATGGGTGGAATATTTTTCATGACCAACCATGATTTATCTGCATCTCTCACCATGAATGGGAGTAATTGCCCCTTCCCGCCTAAAGGTTGGTAAACTAATGCTTAGCGGAGTAAATACATTGAATGTTTTATTTATTTATAGTTTGAGGCCCTATTTAAAAATCTAGAAATGTCGGGAGGTGACCATGTTTAATCTTGACAGGTTTTTAAAAATATTTCGCTTAAACACAAAACCGCAGTTTTCTTCAAGTTACCAAATGCACTTATTTGATAAAGTCCTGGTTTGATGATAACGTCTGGAATGTAAGAGGTAGATATTCACGTGTCTGGTGTATCCTCATCAGGCAGCGTGGTGTACATGCGGTCAACCAAAGTGTTTGGTTTGGGTGAGATCGCGTAAACTACTCGACGCGTTCGTCAATAAACGTCCTAAATTACAAAGAGACCTCTCTACTGATGTGCTATGATGGAGGCCCATTGCCCGAAACATCGCTTATTATACACGTTCCCTTTTAAGGACAATATTTTTGACCAACGCGTCGGTTGAGGGCACGGCTGAGTAGCGGGCACGGGTTGCTGTCACTCAGCCGCCAACAAGGAGATTATTCGCCGCGGTCCCTATCCGTGGAGCTGCGTTGGTGAGGGCTGTGGGGGGAGGCGTCAAGTCTGCACGCGCGCTTCGCCGCGGTCCCTCACCCCCAGCTGCCCTCCCGCCACTCCCACGGCAGCGAGCGAGGCGCCATGCAGGTGACGAAGCGGCAGCAGCGGCAGCTTCTCCCCCCTCTATCTCTCTCTCTCTCGCTGTCACACCGCAACACGCCGCAACACGCCGGCCTGTGAACGCCACTCTCGTGATTACTATGCTTGCGCCGAACATCCCCCGGACGTGTCTCGAGTCGGCGTCGTTTTCGTGTCGACGAGGTGGCGGGTTGGGGCGCGCCGCTCGTGCTGCTCCGTCGTCGCCAGTCGAGCTCGAGGGCTTCGCTGTTCTTACTCCTGAAGCGAGACTCGCCTTGGTCGCCCGCCCGCCTAGCTAGCTAGTGTGTGTGGTGCTTTGGGCTGCCTGCCTTGTTGATGGCCGTGCTGCTGCTGCTGTAAGCGAGCCTGTGGCCAGGCCCGGTACGCGCCCCTCTCGCCACACGCGGCTCCCCCCCCCCCCCCATGCCCCCATGTCCTTGTAAGGCGACGTTCGCGAAGCGGCCTCGCTGCCCTCACCCTGGGCCCTCGCTGCCCTTCGTTACCCTCCTCCTCTTGTGTGTGTTGCCTCACCTACATGCAGACAAACTCCTCTTGTGTGTGTTGCCTCACCTACATGCAGATAAACTCCTCTTATGTGTGTTGCCTCACCTACATGCAGACAAACTCCTCTTGTGTGTGTTGCCTCACCTACATGTAGATAAACTCCTCTTGTGTGTGTTGCCTCGCCTACATGCAGATAAACTCCTCTTGTGTGTGTTGCCTCACCTACATGTAGATAAACTCCTCTTGTGTGTGTTGCCTCGCCTACATGCAGATAAACTCCTCTTGTGTGTGTTGCCTCACCTACGTGTAGATAAACTCCTCTTGTGTGTGTTGCCTCGCCTACATGCAGATAAACTCCTCTTGTGTGTGTTGCCTCACCTACATGCAGATAAACTCCTCTTGTGTGTGTTGCCTCACCTACATGCAGATAAACTCTTCTTGTGTGTGTTGCCTCGCCTACATGCAGATAAACTCCTCTTGTGTGTGTTGCCTCACCTACATGCAGATAAACTCATCTTGTGTGTGTTGCCTCGCCTACATGCAGATAAACTCCTCTTGTGTGTGTTGCCTCACCTACATGCAGATAAACTCCTCTTGTGTGTGTTGCCTCGCCTACATGCAGATAAACTCCTCTTGTGTGTGTTGCCTCACCTACGTGTAGATAAACTCCTCTTGTGTGTGTTGCCTCGCCTACATGCAGATAAACTCCTCTTGTGTGTGTTGCCTCACCTACATGCAGATAAACTCCTCTTGTGTGTGTTGCCTCACCTACATGCAGATAAACTCCTCTTGTGTGTGTTGCCTCGCCTACATGCAGATAAACTCCTCTTGTGTGTGTTGCCTCGCCTACATGCAGATAAACTCCTCTTGTGTGTGTTGCCTCACCTACATGCAGATAAACTCCTCTTGTGTGTGTTGCCTCACCTACATGCAGATAAACTCCTCTTGTGTGTGTTGCCTCACCTACATGCAGATAAACTCCTCTTGTGTGTGTTGCCTCACCTACATGCAGATAAACTCCTCTTGTGTGTGTTGCCTCACCTACATGCAGATAAACTCCTCTTGTGTGTGTTGCCTCACCTACATGCAGATAAACTCCTCTTGTGTGTGTTGCCTCGCCTACATGCAGATAAACTCCTCTTGTGTGTGTTGCCTCACCTACATGCAGATAAACTCCTCTTGTGTGTGTTGCCTCACCTACATGCAGATAAACTCCTCTTGTGTGTATTGCCTCACCTACATGCAGATAAAGTATTCGGGCGTTAAGTGACCCAGACTGATTCAACCGCAACACTCGTCGATCTCTGCTTGTGCTCACATCTAAAATACTATTTCGCTTACAAGTTGAATACCTCATTGATTATCAGTCTCTTTGAGTTTGTTATACTCATTCGTTGTGCGGTTTTATGCGTAAAAAATAAGCTGAACTCCGCTTAATACTTAGGCGTTCGCGACCAATATCCATAATATAGTAGTTTTTTTGTTTAGATCTTAGCAGTGCGGCTTGTTAAACATGCCACCACCGAGTTACCAGATGTTCTTGGCAAACGATTACGCCCCGTTTCACTCAAAATCTTTGCGTGCATCTCGTGTGTCTGTGGAACATGAGAACGTTACATTGGAGACGCAGTGGCATAAGGGAAGCCTGTGTAAAAAAACAGGGCTAAAGGCAAAAAACAGTACAAAACACTCAACATAGTACACAAACACTCGGAGTTGAACAATAGAAGCATAATTTGACAATCGTGGGATTATTTTAACAAGCAATCCTGGGTGATGGCATATTGGTGTTATGTAAGGCAAGAAGCAGATGCATGCAATATTACGAGCTTAGTTCGTCAGAAACAATATCCGTTTCATAACGAAGGGGAGTTGGCCAAGTTTGTAGTGGCAACTTTATTTAAGACGTCTAGTTTGTTATTTTTACATTCTGGACAGGTCTGTAACATCTCAGATATTCTGCAATAAGATTAATTTAACATTGCATAAATTGCTGTTATTTATTGTAGGACCCAAACGAAGATACGGAATGGAATTCCATTCTGCGCAAACATGGAATCATCCCTCAAAAGGAAGAACCCAAGGAGGAGGACGAGGAGGCGGCTGCACAGCAACAGTCAGTCGGTATGACGCGTGCATTGTGGGATATTCTGTGTCATGTGTCACCAAGGAGAGCATTGAAGGCCAGCCTTTGAAGAGAATCATTTATAAGGAAATACATTTACTGTGAATGCATATTAAGTGTGGTTCACACACATCAAATTGACCTCGAATATATTAAATGTGAGTTGATTTTTTTGTAAATTGTTTTGATCATTGTTTTCAAATAAAAGTTTACACTTAGTTAAACACACTGTCTTCAGGTGATGAAGCCCATATGTAATAGCTGAAAAATATTACATATGTATACATATATTTGTTTAATGTTTAGACCTGCATTTTCCAAAGATTTAAAACTGAAATGAGTTGATATTTTATGTCAGTAAACTTATTCTAAGCAAAATTAATGTCGTATATAAAACACTGAATCTAAACATGACTTAGATATACTTGTAACTGTACACTTGCCTCATATTTACTCTAACTTTTTAAAACCCCATAATTATGTTTTGTATGGTTTAGTGAAGAACTACGATGACATGACCATAGATGAATTTGATGAGCTTGAAGATGAACTAAATGAAGAGGATGAGCGCGTCATAGAAATGTATCGGTAAGGAACTTTCTTTTTTCTGTTGTGTTTTTGCATATTTGTTTTATTAATATAAGTAAATAAGTTACCTGGTATATTGTTTGATTACAAAACACTTAATTTCCATATTTTAAATGTAATTATAATTATGTCCCTATAATGTATCGTAAACATATGTAATGTTGATTACGCAGTGGGGGAATTGATGTGTTCATTCCAGAAGTAAATATAAATTGTGCAGTTTAAAATAAATAGAGCAGTCAGTGTTAGTAATACAACTTTAATTAATTTCCACCAATAAATGTTTACCTTTGACTTGATTTTTTTATTTGAACCATAAAAAGTTCCAATTATGGACAAAAGCATGAACATTACTAATGATGTGTTTGCTTGTTTTGTTGGCAGACAAAAGAGGCTGGCGGAGTGGAAGGCACAGCAAATTAAAAACAAGTTTGGAGATGTTTTGGAGATCTCGGGTCAAGATTACGTCCACGAGGTCACCAAAGCCGACCCTGACATCTTTGTGGTGCTTCACTTATATAAACAGGGGTATGCATTCATCTTCATTTCTGATGGTTAATTGAGCAATTTCACATAGTAAAGCACTTGGCCATCTGTATCTAATACTGTGCCTGTATACCAAATTAACAATTCTATATTTTCTCATACTATTCTCACAAGACATATTTTGACCCACCCAGATGCCTTTGGTTTTCTGCTTGCAATAATAATGTCACAACAATCACAACTTTTGAAAGGAAATTAACTGGTGCCTCGTTTATTTTCGAACACTAAATTTTCTTCTTTCTCTTCCACAGCATCCCGTTATGTGCCTTAATAAACCAGCACTTGACAGCCTTAGCCAGGAAGTTCCCGGACACCAAGTTCCTGAAGTCGATCTCCACTACCTGCATCCCCAATTACCCCGACAAGAACCTCCCTACCATCTTCGTTTACAAGGACGGTGACATTCGTGCTCAGTTCATTGGCCCACTGGTCTTTGGAGGCATGAACCTTAAACAAGACGGTAAGTACTGGAGGTTGCTGGGTGGTTCAGAGCTCAGGTTACTGAGCTGACACAACTTAGGTCCTGGCAGCTGCTTGAGATTAAACTGGTTTCTCAAGCACGAATAACTTAATTTTGTCTGATAATTGAAAATATCGGTTTATCGTGCGATGATCATACAGACTGTTTTCTAACACAAACATGTGCACTGCTTTGCGAGAGTTCTAAAGGGATGCTTTTTTCTCAAACTGCACAGAGAAATTGTAGAAAGACTAAAAATGTAGTGTTAGCTTCATGTTTTTTTTTAAATCCACTTAAATTTTTACGTAACTTTCGTGACTGAAGGAATTCATATTCTTTGGTTCTTTCGGTAAAGTCACGTAGATAAAAAAATTAAGTGAATGAAAATAATAAAAAACAAAAAACCACGATTGTCGACTGTAGCCTGGTTCTTAATCGGAGTGTGCTGGCAGTCTATAATGTAGACTAGTAATGGTTATTAAGCTAGGTGAGTGTAAATGAAAATATAAATAATGACGACCGCTTGTGTTGCGATCGAAACGTCGCGTTTTTTTATTTATAAATATTTTATTATAATTAAATTAGTGAAAGAACCAAGAATAAGTCTACATTATAGACTGCCAATACACTCACCAGCTTAAAAACCAGGCTACAGTCTACATTATAGACTGCCAATACACTCCGATTAAGAACCAGGCTACAGTCAACATTAGTGTTTTTTATTATTTTTATTCTCTTCATTTCTTATAATTTTTTTATCTACGTGACATTACCGAAAGAACTAAAGAATGAGCCACTGTTAACTTCCTTTAAACAGGCATAGTTAGCTGATGCTAAAATAAAACTAATGTTTTCATTGCTTGCGTGTGTTCTTGCACATGTGTAGAGTTGGAGTGGAGGCTCTCGGAGTCAGGAGCTATAACGACGGACCTGGAGGAAAATCCTCGCAAGCCAGTGGAGGACATGATGATGTCATCAATTCGAAGCTCAAGAGCGGTCACCAAGGATGGCCGTGACTATGAAGACTAGCACTCGAGCAGTGCCAAATATGTTTTCATATCCAAACTCCAGCAGTGTTCTACAGTATTTCTGTATAAACTCCAGTTAGCCACACTGATGTGTAAATTGTATGTGATTATACAGGAATTAATTATAACCATTCTGATGGTCAGCATTTCTTAAAAACATGTTTTATACGTTGTAATGTTCTTCTTTAAAATAAACTTAAATTATAACATCGTTGCCTTTTTATAATGGTAACTATTTATCACCAACCGTTGCCATGCATAATCCCGAATATATTTGTAGCTGTTCTAAGAATGTGCACACTGATTAATTCACATTTGAGTTGCTATATGAACATACATTGTGGGGGTTTAAAATGCTTTGACATACTTTTATTCATGCAAGTCACATGCTACAAATAAAATCACTCAAATTGCTAAATGAGGCAAACAATGTCAGCAGTATATTGTTTTACCACCGGGGTGAATTGTTAACCGATTTGAGATTCAAGCAAAAAAAAATGCCATTAAATTGTGATAATGCCTGATGAGATTTGGGAAAATACTGTATGCATATTCTGATGAAAAAACATTTTTGGTTAAGTATCAATTTGGTATGCTTCATTGTGTTCAAGTATTGTTAAAATGTAACAGTGCCCTTATTTAGTTTAGTGGATCGCACGCATTGTTAAACTTTTTCCCGTGGGCGTCGGGGTGTCATACCCTGGCTTTCCAATAGGCGGAAGAGCTAGTGTGGAATGAAAACGGTTCCATTGCTTTGGTTCCATTTTGCTATGCACTGTTTTGCATGTGCCGTATTAAAATCCGTTTTGATTTAACTTACGCATTTGTCTCCAAGTGTATTCTGAAAGAATAGTTGACAGCTTTCAAAGTCAATGCTACTCGGATAACTTGAACTGTTATCGGCATCCCTCTTACCAGGAAATAATTATTACTCGCACGATATTTTGTGCAGATGTTTGCACTTGTACACTAAATGTTCAGGTATACATTTCATCCCAGGTCTCGTTTTAAATAAACGAATTTGTCATTCGAATTAAAGGTTATGACAACCGTTTAACATCCCTTACTCGATGTAAGGGCCTCTTTCATCACCAAACATTTATACTCTTTAGCTAATCGTTTAATGTACCAAATTTTTCAACAGCATTTGTTCAAGTATACATTGATCTGGCTTTGACTTTCGAGTCTCATGAACAATATTGTTTAACAATTACTGTAGTATGGTGTCATTGGCATATTATCTTTTACCCATAATATATCAGACTCCACACAATTCTTAGATCATTAAAATCATTATTTGGCCCTTGCAAACGTTAAATTATTAATGTTTTGATGTTCAGTGCGTTTGTGTAACAGATATACACTGCGTAGGTTCTGCACCGTTATTGATCTTTGACAGTGCCCATATATAGTACTAACTATGGTTGCACGGCCATTGAGCCCAAACCGGTCCTTTGCAGTTTCAGCCACCTTCCACCTTATTTGTTCGCTAGTAATTGTCAACATCACCTTTGGCATGACTCCTAATACTTGTCCTGTGATCAATACACTGATCGGCCTTGTTTTCCAGTGGTGTAATGACTGCCTTTTTCATCTCTGGGATGTGTCGTGTGTTACAAATGTACACAACATGCAGCAGATACCAAGTTTCCTTTGATACCACCATTACACCAATGCGTTCCCACCTGGCTTAAAGTCTATGCCTGATAACACTTCATGTCGCATGTGCACATTACGTGACAACCCCTTGCAAATCCATTGCTGGATGAAGGCCCCTTCCACCACATGCGCTCAGTCCTGAGCAGTGTCTATACTTCACTACACTGGTCCGGGCGAGTCGGGAATGGAACTCGAGTCGTTGAGTTTCTAGCGCAGTACGTGCACTACTGTCACTAATTCACATTTAAACAGCATTCATGTATACTTTATATATACTACTATCTCACCATTCACTGGTCTGTTACCTGGCTTAAAGGGCAGACAGAGCAACACGTGTGATCTACCTTTTTGTGGTCAATTCCTCGAGTCTTTCTCAATTCGCAGCCACCCAACCTCGCCGCCTGAAGGCAAATTGCGCACGTGTGACGAGGGAGTTGAGAGGGCCGGGGGTGGGGGCTGACGGCTGTCTCTGCTGTCGTACTTGCGCATCCTCGGCCAATGGGAGACGAAGGCGGGAGCTGAGATCGGCAACTGAACGGCAGGGAGGAGCGTTCGTCCGCCCTGAGTTTCAAACATTGAGGTTCTACCCAAGAACTGAAAATGCCGCGGCACGCGTGGGAATGTGCCGCGACTGGCCGAGAGGTACCGCAGTGGAGGGAGTGAGCTGGGTGGTGGCTATGTATGCCTCGTATGCGCAGCATGTTGAACTTATCTCGCACAGTACGTAGCCAACCGTGCCAATTGCAGGTAATCCAGCACTGCGGAGGCGAGGAGATGTCATACCATGGCTCGCCAGGAGAAGGCAGTACAGCAAGTGGACTCGTCGCCATCAATTTCCATCTGCGAGAGGATAGTGTTTCCCCCTCGCGCAAAGTGTGGGGTTTTCTCTGGGTGCTCCGGGGATATCCTCCCCACTTGCATGCTGAACACAACTCATCCTTAAATCTCTGAAAACGTTTACAAATTAAAATCGCAATGTAGCACGGTGGCGAGATTTTGACGACCTCGCCTTCTCTACATTTGGAATTTGCGTGCCTCTCTCCCGTGGTCTTGTGACATCTTCTCCGGATCCTCCGGTTCTTCCCTCCACGTTTAGAATCAACATCACGCGTTTGGATTATTCGGCTGCTTTAAATTGCAACATGATAAGCCACTTTAACTATTATTTGTGGCCAGGTCGCTCCTGAAAAATAAGCTCATAGCCCAGTGCCCTATAGGGGCCATCCATCCCGGACGCATGGAGGGGGGAGGAGGGGGGTCACCCCAGACACCTCCGCTTGAGTAATAATTTGTCTTCATTGGCCTTCAAATGAGTTAGATAGTCCGGCGGTGGACTATCTGTTTGCTTGAACACGTTAATATTCAAATCAAGATTCACGTTAATATTATTAATCCTTGATCGTTTCTGCGTGGATTAAATATCGGCCGTTCTATAGGATTGGGGGGGGGGGTGTGTAAGGAGTCCGCGTGTGTCCAGGGAGGGGTGGAGGGGTCACGTTTTGACAAGTTTTTGCTACCTACTCAATGGATGGCCCCTCACCTGGTAAAATAAAATAAAGAAAAAAATGTGGTTTTATTTATTTGTTGTGATTTGCTTACCTTCCCTGTACTTTGCACACCCATCGTGTTTTTATCTATTGTGAGTTGTTGTCCCGCTCTGAGCCCGTGCCCCAGGCGAACATCTGTGGTGAAGAGCTTCACAGCTCATCGGATTCCTGCGCCACGGATAAATAAATAATCATATTCTTAAGTTTTTTCGGTAAAGTCACGTAGGTAAAAAAACACATAAAAAAGTAAAATAAAATAAAAATAAAAATCACGACGTTTCGGAGGCAACGCAAACGTCGAGAAACGTCGTGATTTTTATTTTATTTTATTTTTTTATGTGTTTTTTTACCTACGTGACTTTACCGAAAAAACCTAAGAACATGAATCATTGCAGTCACGAAAGCTTCAAATCTATAAATAAATGATCCCGTGGTTGTATTTGGTAGTGCGGATGAGCGCTGGCGGTGCCCCGAGGGCTGCGGATGTGCGCTGGGAAATCTGCCGGCGTCGTGTTCCGCACTCTCGCGATGGCGGCAGCGGAGGCCGCCGGGCTGGAGGAGGTCAGGGCGAGTTGATTATGTCGCCTCCGCCTTCCTCGCACTTGCTAACACCACCACCGCGGTCGTGGCGACGAGCGACTAACGTGCACTGTGTGTGTGTGTAGTTGTGCCTTGTTAAGGGTTGGTTCACGTCGCTGGCTAACGCTGCGAGCGCTCCGCTTGTTTATAGGCCGCATGTGCTGTGGTTCGCCACGTTCGACGAAACCACCACCACCTTTGTGTCTAATTCGTTGTCCTGTGAGTTGAGGCCTTCGTCTACATTATTAGCGGGGCGTCTACATTAGCGATGGTGATGTTTGTCTTGTGGGTTTTCTTACAATTGTGTGTTTAAAAACATGTTTCGCCATTGCGTTATGTCACTTTCTGCCAGTGGGCGGGTGACACGTCCCGAGTGGCGAGTGACACGTCCCGAGTGGTGGTGGACAGTGGAGATGTCGCCACAAAGACAAAGATCCCCCCCATAGCCTTCACCAGACTGTAGGGGCAAGTGCTGCTGTTAGCGAGCAGAAGGCCGCCACTGTGGCACACGAGGGGCCGGTGGTCAGCACCACGCCCGGCCGCTTTTGTCTCCCCAGTGGCGATGTTTACACATCGCACCGGGTTACTTATTTGGGACTGAGTCGACCTAGGGGAGGCCCAGGAGCCTTGTTTAGTTAATCGCCGCTGGTGTTGGTGGCCGGGTTCGTAGCGTAGCGCTCCCCACCTCACTGGGGGACCCCGCGGTGTTCACGCGGCCAAACTCGCACTTACCGCTTCATAAACAAAGTCGTTCTTGTCGTGACATGTGGACGTCGTGACACGGGGACGTCGTGACACGGGGACGTCGCTACTTACCACCCATGGGTGTCCCACGCAGTTTGCGACTCTCACCAACGTGTCGGTGGCAGCCGACGAGCCGGTGGAGGGGGACATCAACGTGCCCGTGTCCCACAACCGGGAGGACGACTTCTCCACGCTGGACGAGCCAGTCAAGGACACGATCGTGAGTGGCACGCTCGTCCCACACCTGAGAACACATGCCACGTGGTTAAATAACATATCGGGATCATACAAATTACAACAAAGGGTGTAGCTGTGGTGTGGTGGTTCGTAGAAACTGGACTTGAAATTCCCAGTTCAGTTGAATCTGCTGGTGCAGCTGTTGACATCATGGTGCAAGTTTCTTAAATTACCGCCTGGCACCTCGTTAATCCAGCAGCATAAGTACAGCATTGCCTCGTTATTCACAAGCTTGCTATCCGCGGTTTTGGCTATCCGTGAATCACATCTGGAACTATTTCCGACTGCATCGAGAGAGGGGGGGGAAGTGATGAGATAAAGTGCACTTAATAAAACGTTGAATTAATATACTTTGTTCTTTTCTATACATGTGAATTATAGCCCTTTGTCGTCAATCCACTGCTGGATAAAGGCTATCCCACACTCATGGTGTTTGAGGTGGTTTGATCATATTTTACCCTGCTGGTAAGTGTTGGTTAGTGAAGAGTGGGGTCCAGGCCAGGTTCAAATACTACTCGCTGCTTATGTTAGCGGTGACCAGAACATGATCTCAGGTGGCAGGGTTCACAGCAGTACGCTAAGTGCCACACTGCTCTACCCCACTTTGCTAATTGGCCGTATTTTGTGTGTCGCACCACTACAGAAAATGCTGTCTTTCATTTTCCAATCTCCACAAAGGGGCATGCTGATTGTTCCTTTCCGAAGGCCTTTTGAAGTTTCCTTTCATGAGATCTGTTGACGACCTTAGGCTGTGTTTCTGTTTGACAGATGAGAGACATGAAAGCCGTAGGGAAGAAGTTCGTTCACGTGCTCTACCCAAAGAAGAGTTCTGAACTCTTAAGAGACTGTAAGCATATTACATAAAGTAAATACAATTGTACTTGTTTGAATAAGACATTGGTTCATTACACCTACATCCGTGTAGGTCTGAAGCTAATGCAAACTATGCTATTCATACACTATGACATCACATTTTTGTTCAACACAGTATTAACATTTTTGTATTCAGAAATGTTTTAACAGTTGTTTTAAAGCTGTCAATATATAATGTAATGTTTTTATTTGCAGGGGATCTGTGGGGTCCACTAATACTCTGTGTATTACTAGCAGCGTGAGTATCACCCTCATTAATTCAGTTTCACTTTCCTTCCTGCAAAGTGTCACTTCAATACATGGCATTAGAGATGATGCTTATAGCAGTGAAAGATAATTTTCAACAATGAAATTGGTGTTTCTTTTGTTTGGAAGAAAACTTAATAAAATGTGTTAAAAATAGTTATGAAGCACACTTTTTATTTTAACAGCCTAAATAGTATAGCGTCATACGTTTTCATGCAGAATGTGTGTCTACTGAAAACACTGCATTCAGTCCGCATGGTTGTGGAGATTATTGATATAAAAAAATACAGCACATTTAATTTTAGCAAGAAAATACCATTGATTTATCAATGTTTCCAGTTATCGCAGCTTATTCACTTCTTATGGTGCTTTAAATCAATGGTTAAACATCAGCATATTGATTCAAAGCATGTAAACTAGTTCAAACATGTTCATAAGTTCAGCAGGCTTCAGGACAAGCATTTAGTTTCATACAAGATATCCCTTTTCACCAATGTGTAAAACTGGTTGCTTTGGCGCTACAGTAATTGTAAATGAGGCGATTGTTGCCTTTCAGGATGCTGCAGGCGAAGACCCCCACTGACAGAGCGAGTCAAGGCCCACAGTTTGCAGAGGTTTTTGTATTGGTCTGGGTCGGTGCCATCGTCGTCACGCTGAATTCCCAGCTCCTTGGGGGTAACATGTGAGTCTTTCGTGTTCCACAAGAATTAGACAAAGGATAGGTTATGTGCAAATACAATTTTCATCCTCCAATTGTTTAACATAACATTTATCTATACCCACCACCAAGTTAATGACATTGCTATGTTTTTTCAGTCCTAAATGGGTCTCAATTTACAGTCGTTAACCTATCTTCATGTCTCAATTGCATGGTACACATTCTTTTTTACATCACTGCATCATAACCATGCTGATGATCAAATCACTCGATGTACGGTTGAACCTTGATGGTGCGTGGTTGGGTAACCACAATGCATAATGTGTTACAGGTTGGTGGGTGGGTAGCATGCATTGTGAAAATCTGTTTAATGTCTGTTTTTCAGATCCTTTTTCCAGAGCCTGTGTGTGCTTGGATACTGTGTTATGCCACTGACAGTGTCCATGATCGTGTGTCTCATCACCACCTTGGCCACAAAAACTCTCGTCCTCACCATAATTAATTTTATTGTGGTCTTCCTTTCCTTCGGCTGGTCTGTATTTGGTAAGTCAATTTCACATGTTGTAATATAGATTGACACTCTTAAAATCATTACAGCGTTGACAAAATGTTAATTAATCACTTTTCAGCGTCTTCATAATGTTCTGTGAAATAACAGATCAGACATTATCTACAACATGCTAAGAGAATATGTACAGCATTGCCATAACACTTTGACTTTTTTTTGCATTTAAACAGCTTTTTTTATTCCATGAATTTTAAATTAAGGTTATTGTTACAGGTTTTTATGAGTGAGCTGTGCTAAAGAATATATATTTTTATCGCGTGGTATTCTCCACGCAAAGAAATAACTGAATTGACATTTACAGCCCTTTCCACGTTAATTTATGCTTTGATTTGTTTTCACAGCATCGACAGCCTTTCTGGCCGACAGTCAGCCGCCCAATAGGAAAGCCCTTGCCGTGTATCCAATATTCCTTTTCTACTTTGTCATTAGTTGGATTATACTCTCAGGTGTCCACTCGTAAGCCCAGACGCTGCTGCAATATTTTCAGCTTTGTGTACATAAACGTGCTGTAAAATATTGTAATTATTGTATACAAGTGTTAGATGTTCTAGATTAGTTTGACATTTTGTTGATGGACACAGATTAAAGCTTTTAGATTTAAACTGTCTTAAAGTTTGGGATCATCTGGATGCACAGTTTAAACCTGTATGCACCAAAGTAATTCAAAAGGCAGTGGAAATACCATGATGATAAAAAGCTACAGACTGCATTTCACCAATATGGGGGGGTGTTTTTAGTTTAGAAATACACATTGATATGTTCATTTAATGCATGGTTGCATTTAAATAGTAAAATTCTAATTGTTATGCTATGGGTGTTTTATGTTATTGGTGTGGTTTGTCACAGCTGAGTATACGTTTTGCATTTTTGGGTGATGGTAAAATGCAGTTCATGTATTGGTGGAAAGGCATTTTCCTCCTATAGTGGAAAAGTGACATAGTTCGTGTTATTTGCTCAATTTGGCCATTATACCACTAACATTCAGAAGAAATGTCTCCACAAACATGAGTAAGGCCCTTGGATGAAAATGTAAATTTGCACCACACAATACTGCAATCAATTAAAACCTTATTTTGATCTGTATGATTATATTGTTTTTTTATGTACTGGATATGATTCATACTTCATATAATTGTCATAAAACCTAGGGTAGCTCCATACTTTAAGGGAGTTGTCTCCTGTCGTGTCAATGCATTGGTTAACACATTTAATTTGTAAAAACGAACGGGATATTACCGCCATAATATATTTCATATGTTTATTCAAATATCCAGAAATATTTGTTTGCCAATAAAAAGTAGTTTAATACAGGCTCCGTGACTAAAAATATCTCCAGTTATGTTAAACTCCATTATACAGTATTTGAAGGCTTGTTATTTTAATGTCTTCCAATGTAGCTTGTTTATGATGATAATTTAACTTAGTTTAGTGACACCTGAATGCTAATTCCCTAAAATACTGCAACCACAGACCTTTTAAATATAACCTTTGCATGGTGTTCAAATTCCATTTGTATTTCTGAAAAAGCATATGCTTATAGCATACATCGACAGAGAAATGTATGAGCGATTCCACAATTTAAATGCGAAATTTACTTGTAAGCTCATCAATGTTCCACGAGTCCCCTCACTTTCTTGGATGTGTTCAAAGATTCGTAACGATCCATGATATATGAGAATCAGCTTTTTACTGTCTTGTGGAATGGAAAGGAATGGGACATTGTTATTGCCAAGCATATATACTCTCGTATCTCCTCGCTAAGGCGTCACTGGTTGGGTTGGGCACTAGTTTTATGAAGTGTGAAAAATATTGAGTTAAAATTGCATTACTACGAGTGCCAATAAAATTCCACTAAAATGTTTAGTTGTGACGTTATAGTTTGCACTTGACGCAGCCGTTGATGCTAAAGTAACATTAAATGCTACAAACGGTTTTCCTTTGTAGGAAATTCATATCACAATAACCGTGACAGGAAACTACGAGTTTTATTTAAATGACCGTAGTTAACAGTTTAGCGATGTGCAATGTTATGTAAATCTGGTTACAAGTTAAGATATACCAATGACATACAACTCGCTTTATAGTACAACATCAAAATTAAGTGAATATGCATAGCAAAGAGATTTTTACGTAAAAAACAACCCAACAACAAAGCGACCTTAATTTTGTTCACATCAATGCTGCATGCAGAGTGATGCGCATGTCTGACAGGTGAAGAAGGGCCGTGAAACACCCGACTGTACTGGCAAAGGGAATATCGCCGCCTAGTGGTGCATGTCTTGGGCTGTTGTGCTCTTCAGATTTGCCCTTCACATTGGCCACAATATTTTTTGAAGGCCTGTCAGCTCTTATGGTAGCAAATAACAGTATTAATCTTTCGCCTTAATGTTGGAACAGTACACTTTTATCAGCTAGATTTGTCACCACATGAATATCGAGTATTGATTGACAATGTTAACATTGTTTTACTGAATGATCCAGGGGCAGTTTCTTCATAGTTGGTGCATTAACGAAGAGCTATCTGAAATATACGAAAACATGTTAATGATGCAGCCTTTAAAATAGGATTACCATTTCAGAACCTCTTGATATGTAATTTTATTCAGAGATTATTTCCAATGGTCTGGTTTGTACTCCGAAGGTGTGCAATATAAGTACATCAGTATCATCCATATCGAAAGTATCCTGTGAACGAGCGCAAATTAACATAAAAATACCGCAATTCCCGGAAGTATGAAGCCATCATCAAAACACTCCAATGATGGTGTTCATGGGAAAAGGCAGTTTTGTGACAACGGCATTTTTTCTCACTTTTATGCCAGTTTTTGATAAAAGATATATTGAGAGGGAAGGTAGTTTAATTCAAGGTTGACCAAGCTTTGCATGATTAAACACTGCACATATGGATTTAAAAATTTCCCAAATGAATGTAAATGTTTAATGGACAACATGTTCCTGAGTTTTCCCTTTTAAATAGCCATTTGGAGTGGTAATGTATTATACCAAAAAGCTCTTCTAAATGTCTACACTTTTATGTCCGTGTGCTTTCTGGTGATGCAATACTATGTACTACAGTATATATTGCAGAGGCAAAATAAAAGTACAGCACAAGTTATTTTAAAACATTCCTTCCAGAGTTGTGGACGTGGACTTAGATATTTCTGTTTTTTTTTAAGCACCAATGTACCTTGTAGTCCAGTACTTTGCTATTCGGCACACTTTTTCATAGAGGTTAACAGCAGTTTGTCATCTGCACGTCTTAATCATCTCAATTTGGGCAAATGTATTTGGATATGACAATCTGGACATAGTGTTTAATAAATGCCATTTGAAATTCTAAACCATGGTTGTCCAAACGTTTATTGGAGGGCCTGATTGAGTGGCGATGCGGATCGCAACAGGCTACGGGCTCTTTAACCTTTGCTGTACACTTGCATCGGATTTTTAGCAGACATGCACTCAACTGAGATGTGAGACAATGTGTCAGAACGAGGTAAGATAATGGATAGAGATGCATTGGCAAAATGTATTCATAATGGGAATGATATGACATGCATTTGAATGAAACCTATATTAAACGGAAATGTGAGATATTTACAGGAGAAATGTCAAGAACGAGGAGGTAATCATGAGAGAACAGTGACAGTCATAACTGTAGAGGAGATACATGTATTCATTAGGAGATGTCTTGAGATAGATTTAGGAGCGGTGAATTCGACTGACATGGGACAGCGACAGCACGAAAGACAAGAGCGAGGATAGCAAAGGCACTGAGTAATGCAAGTGGAGTGGGTAGAGAGGAGAGCGAGACCTCTCGAGAGGCAACAAGTGTATTGCAACAGGAGTAAGCTGAACACAAAGGGGTAACGGCGCCTTCCACCCGACACTACGGAGGGATGTCCTCGGGGCTAACGCGCCTAGCACTGGGGAGGCTGACGTCGACACGACCCTGGCTGGGGCCCGGGTCTCGTCTTCAAGCTCCTCTTCAGAGTGACGGCTTCGGGTCTCCAGTATACAACAGCAGCTTCATGGTTATATAGTCAGTCCCGGCTCTCTCTCTCTGCCCCTAGGCACGCCCTCCTTCTCGAACCTTCGAGAAGGACCTGGGTTCTGGGCACGTCATCCCCCCAGCCCCCTTTTGGGGGTCCTGGGGTCCATCCCTCCGGTCAGGAGCCCCCCTGGGTTCAACTTGAGTGCCACGGCCCAGCTCGATCCGGGCACTCTTCCGCCCCCTGTCGTCCAGGGGCTGGCACTACAACCGGGGAGCAGTGACATCACCCAGGAATGCCACTACACAAGGATTCTAAACATCTGGAGAAGCAAGCAAATCGGCTACAAGACCAAACTGAACATGTCAAGAACATGCTTGTTAAATATAGCGTTGTATGCCTGCGAGAATGAAACAAAAAACATAAGCTATTGATACTCGAAATGTATTGCTACAGAAGGATATACTGCATCTCAGCTGGACCAAATAGTGACCAACATTGAACTAATAAAATGGTTGCACATAAAAGAAAGAAAGCTGATGATGCAGGCAGTGATGAACAGGAAACTGGCAAATTCACCATGGAGGTGTAAAAGGATGGCAAGCTACCATTTTTGGATGTTCTAATCAAAAAGAGACCAGATGGCTCAATGGGACACTGTCTACAGGAAAGCAACTCATACGGATGCCTACCTAAGACCTGACTCCCACCACCATCCATCCCAGAAGAATTCCCTCGTCAAAACTGTACACCATAGAGCTCGATGTATCTCCGACCATCATCACCTAGCCAGTGAACTGAAACACGTGCACCAAGTTCTCAAGATGAATGGATATTCGGACCACACAATCCATAAAACTATCACCCCAACCGTTGAGAAAGAACCATCTGAGGACCCAATCAAAACCATCACATTGCCATACATAGCAGGGGTCACCAAAATTCCAAAATCATGAGCAAACACAACATCCAGGTTCGATTTAACAGAGGACATAAAATTTGTGATCAGATCCCATCTGTGAAGGATAGGATCCCTAACATGCAATACCCCGGCGTCTACAAACTAAGCTGTGTCTGTGGCAGTAGTTACATTGGGGAAACTAAGCGACATGTCTCGGACCGTGTTCATGAGCATAAGGCAGATCTGAAACACGGGAGGACCAATACCTCGGCCGTGGCTGATCATTTCTTTAATGCGGTGGGCTCACACTAAATTGATTTCTTTAAGACGAAGGTACTTTGTAAGCCCACTGGCTATCAACAAAGATTGGTTCATGAAGCCATCCATATATACAGACAGATAATTTCAACCGAGAGGATGGGTCCAAACTGAGCAATCATTGCAAGGACGTCATCAACTAGTTTAAGTCATAATTGGCTGTGATGTTCCCATCCTGCCACCTTCCGATGTGAGTTTTTATTTATTTTCCCCGTGGCTTCGGCTTTCCGATTTTCCATTAACATGCTAATCTCTCACATTAACATCACTAGCTCTGCCCACATCGTTTATGACCATTGTGCTCCACGCATTTTAAACCTTTAAACACATCCTGCCTTCAGCAGCTTCCCCCTCTTCTTCACTCCTGATGACCAGGGCCGGGTCAAGGCGTGGGGGCTTTCGGGGCTGCAGCCCACGGGCCTCCGCCAGCTGGAGGACCTCCAGAGATGAAGTGAAACGTTTTTTAATTTGTGAATGCTGAAATTATTTGTTGTTAGCTGTTTCTTTAACGGGGGCCTACACAATCTTAATCCGGCCCTGCTGATGACGATGGCTTGTGTTGTGATCGAAACGTCGTAGTTTTTTTTTTATCTACGTGACTTTACCGAAAGAGCCAAAGAGTATGAATTCCTGCAGTCACGAAAGATTTAAGTCAAGGCATAAGAGATTGGTGCCAGCAAAAATGCACACTACTTAATCTTAATGGCACAAGATAGAAAAGAAATGACAAAATGTACAGTGGACACATACGGGACATCTGCCAATGGATCGTGATGATGACGATGACTCAAAATAGATATCCGGAAAAGAAGAGATAAACATTTTCACGAGGGAGGTAGAAGAGGGATGTAATCATGATGGTTATTTAACAGGAGATGCATTAATAAGAGATCTATAGACTTTATTCAGGAGACACTATATGCTCCAAAAGCTATGTGAGCTATATGAGAGGGATTCTATTCAGAAGACGGGATAGAATAAAGAGGAGTGATTTATATTCAAAAAGTTACGAGAAAGAAGACGGATTCATATGCTTTGGGTCTTTCGATAAAGTCACGTAGATAGGTTCAAAGAAATTAACAAAAATAAAAAAAAACTACGAAGTTGATGATGACCGCTTGTGTTGCGATCGAAACGTCGTAGTTTTTGGTTATTTTTGTTATTTTCTTTGAACCTATCTACGTGGCTTTACCGAAAGAGCCAAAGAATATGAATTCCTGCAGTCACGAAAGCTTTAAGTCAAGATCTAAGACGTATTCAGTCGGAATATAACAGGAGAGAAATAGAGAGGCAGGATGATGACACCAGCCGGGTAGTGAGCTTTGCCCTCCGGGCGGAGTGTTGATGATCGCTCTGTTGTTGACCGCTGCACTGAAACAAAACGCTGCTTGCACCACACACAGGAGGCGTGTAAGTGAACACAAGTTACACACAGCGGGAACAAACACATTTAAACAGCGTGTGCTTTAAAGGAGGTTGTGTGGCAACAGCAATTACAGCAGCAGGAGGTGACGAGGTGAGGCGCTCCGCCGTGCCACGTCAGATGCTCGTCCCCCTGCCAGGCTCGGGACGGTGAGGAGGCTTCTTTGTGGATTCTGTTTGGCATTTCAAGGTAATTGTAAAACAACAACAACTATTATTTCAGTTTATTGTAGTTTTTTTGGACAGGATGGGATAAAATACTTCAGCGTGATATCGATACAATTGCGATAATATAGTACTATACCGTCATCAAAATGTAAACAATTGACATGTGCAAGGAATGATGAAGTATTACAGAATCTTGACTTGAAGCTTTCGTGTCTGCAGGAAGTCATTTTCTTGTTATTATTTTGATTATTTTAGTCTATCTACGTGGCTTTACAGAAAGACCCAAAGAATAATACAGAATCGCTGACACAGGATGCCTATGGAGCACTGTATATGCTAAGTGTAACATCTTTTATTTTTCATTGCTCATGCATATATATGGAGATTAACTTTGATCTGGTTATATTAAATGTCTCTCCCTTGTCTGCGCAATATCATCATGAAGATCCATCCAGCCATCCTACGTCTTTACTTACAACTCGACCCTGACAACACAGACTACCCAACTGCACTGGTCACACAGCAAGTACGAGCGATGCCGTGAGTTTATTCAGTCCTGTTGCCCTCACACGCAACACACACACAGACTGCCATTCGTAGCGAGCCCTCTGGCACGGTGCATTCAGCTGCCAGTTTGTGACTTACCAAGTCGCGACTTTACACTCCCTGGCCTGGCCTCGTCCCCTCCCACTGCCCACTCATGAAGGTGAGACGGCGGTGTGTGCAGTGTGAGCTGTGTGTGTGGTGGTGGTGTGTGTAGTGTGGGCTGTGTGTGTGTAGTGTGAGTTGGTGCTGTCTGGTGGTGTTTCATCTGAGTCGGTGGAGACACTGCCTTGCAGGCACTTACATTCTTCATGATGATATCTTACTTGTTGTCGACTTGCACAACGTGTGCTTCCAGGATACTATAATAATCATGTTGCATATACCAAATGTGATTCGTTTTCATAGATGATGATGAAGTTTGAAATCTTGAAAAATCTGTAATAGAGGTTTGAAAAGAGTAACATGCTTTTTGTAAATCTATCCAGGCACAATGGTTAGAGCGTGTGACTCAAATCAGATGGTTGCAGGATAAAGTTGTTGTTAGGGATCAATGTATCTGTCACGATGACATGGGAACCACTTTGTGGTTTGTCAACGGTGATTCAGCTATCTATTACTTGACTCCTGCCATGAGAATGCGGAATTTCAAGCGATAGCTCAGAGCTACGAACATTACACTCATGCACGAGAGAAAAACACTTTAACGTTTGACTTTGACCTGTATGTTAACACAATGAGGTGCATTAATGTTCCATATGTACATTTTAATTGGCAGAAGAGGAACGTTTTATTATTTGACTTCGTCATTTGAAGAGCTTTCGTTCGGTCTAATGGCCCATTGCCCCACAGTGGAACATGGGAATATTGGGATGACAAATATTGGCTACACCTGATCGTATACCTTCATATCTCGTAGGCATTTTTATTGTGCACATACATGAACATCCCTTTATCGATCAACTAGTGGATGAAGGTCTCGTGCTGGACTTCACCACGGCAGTTCACTTGGGTTGGTGAAGGAGGAGATCCCAGACTGGTCCATACGTCGCTTGCCACTCACGTTTGCTTTGGCCAGAAATCAAACTCAGGGTAGTCAGGATCATGGTACAGTAGCTAATCGTTGTGTATATATTGATAGTAAATTTCTGTTTTGTATATACTGTAAAGTAATACATTTACACTTTACATTGCAGATCATGAAGACTGCACACATATATATAGTTGTGATCTTAATGTCTAATGCATTGCAAGAACTTCATTCTGGTAAGATATAATTTGAGCCATCTTCATATCCATTTTATTTTACAGTGGAAAATAAATCCAGGTCGAGTAGCTTGTATATCGATAAATATTGTGAATACGGAGCAAGCTTATTATGATACCATTACTCGAATTAGTGGCAGGTCTCTGCACTGGCAGTCAAAGCACACTTGCCCAAAATTCCAGATTTAGCTGCCTAAAGCTTCCATCTGAATCCTATGGTAATTGTTTTTAGCATTCACCATCACGAAATTAGCATACCTTGATGCTGATTAAAGTTCATTTCCATTTTTTTTCCAGGACATTTATAAATTAGAGGATGCTAACAACAATAGACTGCGGGTTGCCATTGCTTATTGGACATTATATAACAATTACAATAACTAACAATGCCAACTGAGTGAAGAATGAAAGTGTACTAATAGAGTAGCACGGTGCAATAATATATAATGTTACTTCATTGGGTTTTTGCAACACAAATGTAGTGTCGTGAAATAACTCGCACTGACACGAAGTAACACGTCACCTGCTCACACTTTACTAACTCTGCTCTCGCGCCCCTTGGAGGCACTGTCACCACACACTCCGCTTCTCCTGCTATACCCACTCTCACCGACTCTGCACCTCACCACTCTGTACCTCACCACTCTCTCATATCTCGCCGCTGCCCTCTCCTACGCTACCCCGTGCCCACCCGCCCGTCTGTCCCTGGCGGGGGGGGGGTCCCGTTGACGTCTCGAGCGGCAGCGGCTCGAGACGTCTCCTCTCTTGGTCCCCGGACAGCTCCCAGCACTCGCCGCTTCGATACCGCTCCTCGTGGCGAGCCCTCGTGCGCTCCCCACTTGAGCTGTCGCCTGCACGGCGCCTCTCGCACTCGCACCAACCCCTGCCCTAACCTGCACACAGCCCCAACCTGCACACAGCCCCTGCCCCAACCTGCACACAGCCCCAACCTGCACACAGCCCCAACTTGCACACAGCCCCTGCCCCAACCTGCACACAGCCCCAACCTGCACACAGCCCCAACCTGCACACAGCCCCAACCTGCACACAGCCCCTGCTCCAACCTGCACACAGCCCCTGCCCTAACCTGCACACAGCCCCAACCTGCACACAGCCCCTGCCCCAACCTGCACACAGCCCCAACCTGCATACAGCCCCTGCTCCAACCTGCACGCAGCCCCTGCCCCAACCTGCACACAGCCCCTGCCCCAACCTGCACACAGCCCCTGCCCCAACCTGCACACAGCCCCTGCCCCAACCTGCACACAGCCCCTGCCCCAACCTGCACACAGCCCCTGCCCCAACCTGCACACAGCCCCAACCTGCACGCAGCCCCTGCCCCAACCTGCACACAGCCCCTGCCCCAACCTGCACACAGCCCCTGCCCCAACCTGCACACAGCCCCTGCCCCAACCTGCACACAGCCCCAACCTGCACACAGCCCCTGCTCCAACCTGCACGCAGCCCCTGCCCCAACCTGCACACAGCCCCTGCCCCAACCTGCACACAGCCCCTGCCCCAACCTGCACACAGCCCCTGCCCCAACCTGCACACAGCCCCTGCCCCAACCTGCACACAGCCCCAACCTGCACGCAGCCCCTGCCCCAACCTACACACAGCCCCTGCCCCAACCTGCACACAGCCCCTGCCCCAACCTGCACACAGCCCCTGCCCCAACCTGCACACAGCCCCAACCTGCACACAGCCCCTGCCCCAACCTGCACACAGCCCCTGCTCGCCCTCGACTGCACTCGCTCAACTGCGCGCACTGCGTTCATCTCTGCTCTACACAAAGACAAAGATCGCCCGTATAGCCTGAACAGACTGTTGGGGCAAGTGCTGTTAGCAGGCACCCATGAAGGCTGGCACGGTAGACGAGGGGGTGGATGGCCAGCGTGTTAACCGCTGCACCACCGCTCCCCACAACAACACAGACACCCACCGCACATAGAGCGTCGTCACCTGGGCTCGAGGCTTCCATCGAAGCAGTTGGTGAGGTTAACGTGTGCCTCGCGTTCTTGTTACAGAGAGAGTCACCTGTGGAGGCACGCTGAGAGAGCCGCAAGGCTCTTTCACCAGCCCCAACTACCCACAGCATTACCTGAACAGCGCCTTCTGTGTCTGGGTCATCGAAGCACTGCCATTTTCTGTCATCGTGTTAGAAATTGTCGACATGGAGTGAGTAATGTTAACAATGTACAGTATATTTTTAATATATATCACACCAATATGGCAAAGTATATTTATGAAGTTCATAGTATGACTATGAGCGATGGCTATGTGGGTAAACACAATCACATGCTTCAGAGTACAGCAATTGTCTGCAACATTCGGTCACTATTATGATCGATCACAATTGTAAGGTACTGCGAATGAGATGTGCATTGTGGAGTGTTCAGACGATGTCAATGCCCTCTTGTCCATGTGTATATATGGCTATGAATGTAAGTGTTTCAGACTCAATGTTAAACTGAGACATACACGAATGTACACCTCTGGACCACCCAGCCACTGAATACATCACATTGATCACGTGGTAACTTTAAACTCGGAGGTTAGCCGATGTGCAGAAAAAAACCAAGCCAGTTCCGATTAATCGATGTACTGTGTGTTGGAAATGTCTCCGTCCCGTACATAGCCAACCGTGCTCTTCGAACGTGTGAATGTGTTGTTCGTTCAAATTCCTTCCATAACGATTCCTTGCGTCCTCCTCTCTTCTGTGTCTCTGTGTTTGTTTCTTTACAGACTTGAATTATTCTTCGATTCAGTTACTCTTTCAGAAAACCAGATGGCTACAGATGCTGAGTTCAATGGCTACTCGTACAAGTCTTTTAGCAATACGCTGATAGTAAAATTCAAGTCTGACTTGAGTGTGACATATAGAGGGTTCAATGCTTCCTACAAAATAATCACGTACGCTGATGGTGAGATGGCAACGAAATAATGGTTGGAAATTACATTTAGAACACATTCAGGATGAAAAATTCCTGTTTCCAGTTGGTCAGCCCATAACGCAGAAATGGTAGTGTGAGTTGTTTATTGTCAAACATAGTCAGAGCACCATGGGATACAACTGTACGTTGTATATTTGTCAGTGTGTAAACAAACCGAAAATAATCCAGTGTATTATGATTACAGATTGAAACAACACGTATTATTTATTAGAAGTACACATGGGGTTTTATTACATTCCCAGCTAAACTGTCGTGTAAGTTTACTGGCTCTGGTCATAGGCAAGCGTTAAGGTTGCTAAAAACCCTTTTGAAGCTGCGCTGCCACAAGTGCCTGAACAAAGTTGTAAACCATAAATATCGGCAACGCCAGCAGTCATTAAAGTTCAGTATTAGCCAATAAATGTACAGGAATAAATCCATGAGTACATCCCTTCCCTGTTGTTCGCAGATTACCGAAGGCCGCTTGGGATGGAGTCTGGCCTTATCCCTGATGACATAATAACGGCGTCGTCTGAATTTGGCGATCCTTTCTTGGCAAGGAACGCACGAATCAACAGCCCACTGGGCTACTGGAGACCTCGCCAGTCCCGCAGCTCCGAGTTCCTGCAGATCGATTTTCGTTCCGCGGTTAATCTGACGGGGATGATCTTGCAGGGATCTTCTCCGGAGCTGGGTCTGCGCTACGGCGTGAGACCCGGCTGGGTGACTGCGCTCTTAGTCACTTGCATTGATGCGGTCGTCTCTACCGGATGCCGTGATGCTATAGCGGTGGGTGTACGTTTTTTCTCTTCGTGGGAATGTTATTAATACAGTAAAAGATAAATGGGCAACTCTGCAATGTCTTGCTCAAGCCACTGCTGGAGGAAGAGCTCACACGAGAGAGAGCCTCTCTATGTGTATTGAAGATAGCAGGCTCATTTTTAAAAAATGCGTCTTGTGCTTCGTTTGTTGTCCTTCCCCGGCATCTCCGATTATCACGGTTGGCTATGTACGGTGCAAAAGAAGTTCAACATGCATACATTGATTTGCTCTTCCACAATGGCGAGACGTCTTGCAAGAGATAGCAGGAGCACTCACACTCTACACCGCCACAAGAGTTGAAGAACGTTTAAGCAATCTTTAGTTGTACTGGATGTACAGCTAAGCACAAAACCGATCAAATGAAATGGTGAAATACAATTACAGTACAGCGTTTTGTGAAACTGATATTGGGGCAATCCTCATGTTGTGATCATTTATATTACATGATGAACAATTTCTCGTGCAACCCAACTACTATGAAATTATTTGAAGAATTAAATTATATTTAACCATTGCCTTTCGGATTTAATGTGAGTTTGGTCTGAATTTTTTTTATTAATATCCATGTATATAATGTAAATATATATAATATTGAGCATCTATTTTAATTCCTCTTGGGTAGTTTCTATGTAATTGAACCTAGGAAAGTCAAAGTGATTTCCTTATCCAATGAGCATTGAGGTGGTTCTCATCTCAAATTTACAGACCTGATCCAGTAGAGAAAATTCCACATGTCTATGGCGGGGATTGAGTCTATTCATAGGACAACTGCTGTAGACTTCCCCACAAAGTGGTACACGTATATCGACCCTGGTGGGATGATGGGTTGAGTCAACCCCCAACCAGAATTTGAACTTGCAACGTTCCGATTGCAAGCGTTACCGCCGGGTTCCCTGGCCGGATGATCACAACAGCGTGGTGGTGGTGGTTTTGTTCTCTTGCAGTTCTACACGGGGCTTGTGGATGCCATCTCGCCAAAAATCACGCTTTTTAGAAGCCCCATTTTTGTCCACGGAATACGATTGACTCCGTTGTCCTGGGAGAACGAGATAGCTCTACGTATCGAATTATTGTCTCCCTACTCGAAACAAGGCTCCACGGAGATTACCTACGAGCCCCTCGAGCCAGATGGAACCGTGAATGTAACAATAAGGGGCGCGTTCTCGGGTGCCGCGTGCTACGTTTGCACCCCTGAGCATGGCCACACCTTTCTCTACGGCCCCTTCTTTTGCAAGAACCTTTTCCCGTCGTCTCGCGCGGTAAGCGGGCACCACGAAGGCACCTTCTCCTTCTCTCATTCCTTCTTGGCATACGGCACCCACCAGGTACGAGTTCAGGAAATTACCGCTTTTGACACCAGAACGTACGACAAGACCATCTACGTCAATGACCACGGCTGTATCAGTTACAGTGTGACTCTGGAAGATGAATTACGGAGCAAGGGTAAGACAAGACTTTTGGAAATATCAGACAGCATGGATGTGGTGGCAAACCTGAAGGTGTTCTGCGTTCAAACTTATACCGATGCAGAATACACCTGGACCATCACACACCGAGCAAACGGGAATGTGACTTCCATTCCGTGGCATAATTCTAATCGTGTGCATTTCCCACCGAGGTATTTTGCTGAAGGGGAGTACGTGCTGGCAGTCAGGGCGAGTCTCCGCACGGTGACCACCGAGGAGCAAACAGACTTTCTCAACGTCACCGTTGGGCCAGAGCGTCTGGCCGCAGCCATTGTGGGTGGCGCCAACAGAAGAGTGGGCGTAGGGCACGATCTTGTTGTCCATGCGTCCGCGGGGCCTTATGATCTCGACGAGTCACGCGATGGCACAGAGACCAACTTCGACTGGGAGTGCACTAAGTCGTCTGCAGGTGGTGTGCTGGCAGCGTGTGAAGTCGGCTTCTTGGAGACTGGCGTTGTGAAGATATCGAAGTCTTGGCTAGAGGCTGACTGTCGCTTGACGGTGGCGGTCACGGTCACCAAAGGGACGCTTAGCGCCACTGCCGCCCAGACCTTCAATGTTGTCCGAGGCAACGTTCTGGACATTTATATAAGGTATGTGTGTGTGTTTATTTTAATTTTGTTAATTATATTATTTGATTGAATCAGCTACGCCACATTGAGTCTCAAAGCAAGTGTCTCGCTTAGGATGTTCAATTGTAAAGTTACCTGTTTAGCATAGAGACACAAACTGGAGTGTCGAGAGAAAGCCTGAACATACAAATCGCTCACACTCCTTGCACAGATGGTGGCCGTCACTATCCAGGTAGTGGTGGCGCTCGCCTGTGGAGGTGAAGGATGGTGGATCACAAACATGTTCTGAAACTCCCTGCCCATGGGCGTCTAGGTGCCATGCCCTGGCTTTCCAGGAGAATACAGTAGAGCAAACGTGGACCCCATATGTTGCATCTGTATGGAAGAGATGTTTGCCCTCTCACACGTGTAAGCTTTTCTCAGGGTGCTCCAGTTTCCTCCCACGTGTAAATGCGCATTAATTGGCTGAAAACATCCTGATACAGTGAGGATTGCGGAGCTTGGATAATTTCTGGTGCTGGCTCGCTGCCTCCCAGCTTCTCGGTGGTTCCTCACGCCTGCATTGTTTCTTTCTGTCCGCATTACAAGTTGAAATTATCATTACAGCAAGGGGTGCGTGTGACGCCTCTGTGGGAACAATTGTATTTGTCTTATAATCTATACAAAAGTTGCGTGTTAGATGTGGAGAAGCTGTGAAAGCAGAGACGAGTCTCGATACGTATTATGGAGTGTCTCATTGTAAGATATGTTTGCCATTGAAAAATGAGTGACGTACTTTGATGTGCTCACGAAAACGTCTGTGTACAGGGTGAGCTCATAGGGAGTGTTTGCTTGGCAGGTGCGATGACAACTGCAAGGATCGGGTGGCCACTTCAGAATCACTCTCACTATCAGTGGTGTGCATGAACTGCGGGGGAGCTAAAGATTTGGCCTTTTCTTGGACACTGAAGGCTCAACAGATAATTAGCAACTTGGAGGAAATTGCTTCTACAGGTGATGATTGTATTAATTCTCCAACAACGCAACCACTTGAATGTTTTTTTACAGATTGTAAGCCATTTCTATAATGCGGAATTGTGGCTTTTACCGCATCTGTTCTTTACTATAATTTTAAACAGCAAGGAACTTCATCATGGGACCTCCTTTGCCAGTACCAAAATATGATCATATGTTTTCTCCTTTTTTATGGCAACAAAACAGGTGTTAAGATGTTAAAACACCAAACTGAAACCTTTTACAAGGAATCATGTTTGCATTAATCTCAATACTTGTGGTCAGAATGCAAACAAAAAACATATTCTGATAAGGCCTTTTGGCGTCCTCTGGTCTAACACCGTTTGAGACGAGGCTCGAAAGAAAGCTGTCTCTGGTGTGGACCAATCAGTTTTAAAAACAATGCACATACTATCAGAGTATTATGATTGACAATTCTGGAGATTAAACACCACTAATAGTTTACTTATTTAATTTTTTCTTGTCACAACTGCCTATCACATACAGATTCAAGTTTACAACTTCTCACATCACTCAACATCACTCACTGATTGTTTTCCGTTTTATCTTTCTACGCAGCAAAGTAATGCGCGTCTTCCTTTTGCAGGCGTTCACGAGCAAGGATTGGCACTCATTCCCGATGCCCTCGAGACGAGAACGCACTACACATCCACAGTGTCTGTCTCTGCCCAGGGAGCAGTCACCACGGAGGCGAGCTATAGATTCGTGACCAGTGTCTCTCCGTACAACGGCTCTTGCTCCAGCGAGCCCACCGCAGGTGAGGCCTGTGCTGTGTACACTCGCAGCACAGGCTGGGAGCGGTGGCACAGTGGTTAGCACGCTGCACCACGAACCCGGCCAACCGAGTTCGATGCCTGCTCACGGTTACAGACGGTGACGAATATCTGTCTTAATCTTTGTTTGCACAAGGCTTGGCGGGCATCACAGGCTTCCAGCTCCGGTGCGAGGGCTGGCTTAGCGCCAGCAGCGGCAGTGCGAGCGACTTGGCGTACGAGTGGTGGTGGCTCAAGGGGGCCCGGCTCGAGCAGCTGCTCAGCAGCTCCCACCTGAGCCTCACCCCGCAGCTGCTGCTCCCTCGGGGCGACGCCGGCGGGCGGCTCACGCTGCTGGCCGCAGTGTGCGACGCCGTCGGGCAGTGCACGAAGGTTGCTGTCTATGTTCAGGTACAAGACATTTTGATTTTAACATTGGGATTTGGGCACATTTAAGGACAATTTATAGTCTTTCACGTGGATATGTTGATGTTTGCCCCATGAAGGTTAATGAGTTTTCGTGCTAACAAAAATGGCAATTCCCAATTTTCAGATCAATCTGCACCCTGTCCCATTAGACTTCAGAAGCTCAGTAGGTTTGAGCCTGGCTAGTGCTTGGTTCCTAAGCATTGTGAGCTCGTGCAGATACTCTCATTGTGACTCTGTACTCCCCACAACTTCACCAACCCCGACTGCCCAGAGCGGTGAAGTATGGTCACATGGCCCTCACTGCCTGGAAGCGATGTCCACTCTGATTCCTATCAGGGTAGTTTTGCAGAACTTGATTTCATAATAAAGGTTTTTAGGTTAGATCGCATAAATATGACCGTGTCCTTAACCCACCACCACCACCCCCCGACACAGCCAACTAGTAAGGCTTGTCACGTCAACAAAACGTGTCAATTACTCGCTCAGCACACCGCTGTGTTGCAGAGTAAATTGTTTGGCTGTGTTGGGTGGTCGTGGGTTAACGACACGTTTATATTTACACAATCTAACCCCAAAGAACACATTTACTATGAATAATGCTGTTCGCGAAAGCCTACGACTACTACGTGTTAGAACTTTGTTTTGTTTTTATTTCCACAGGTTCGTAGCCCTCCTATGCAAGAGCTGATCAACAACACGAGGGGCTTGCTCGCTCTGGGCGGCTTCATCGAGAGCATGGTGCAGAGGAGCGACAGCTTGCTGCCGGCTACTGTCACCGTGCTCACGTCCACTCTGCTGCACACAGTAGCGGACGGGAACGCTGTCAAGGAGGTGCAAGCTTGCAAATCTAAAAACATGTTAGCTAAGGGGCCATCCATTTAGCACGTACGCAAAAATGTGACCCCTCCGGCCGGTATTTAATCCACGCAGAAACGATCAGTTGCGTACCCTGAAAAAGTTTGTCTCGTGTCCGCTCGGTTCAAACTCCGACTGAACGCAGTTGGACAGGTCACGTGTTGTCGGGATTCCGTCAACAGGCTGAAGCAGTGTCAGGCTGAGGGAGTGTCAGGCTGAGGCAGTGTCAGGTTGAAGCAGTGTCAGGCTGAAGCAGTGTCAGGCTGAGGCAGTGTCAGGCTGAGGCAGTGTCAGGCTGAGGCAGTGTCAGGCTGAGGCAGTGTCAGGTTGAAGCAGTGTCAGGCTGAAGCAGTGTCAGGCTGAGGCAGTGTCAGGCTGAGGCAGTGTCAGGCTGAAGCAGTGTCAGGCTGAAGCAGTGTCAGGCTGATGCAGTGTCAGGCTGAAGCAGTGTCAGGCTGAAGCAGTGTCAGGCTGAGGCAGTGTCAGGCTGAAGCAGTGTCAGGCTGAAGCAGTGTCAGGCTGATGCAGTGTCAGGCTGAAGCAGTGTCAGGCTGAAGCAGTGTCAGGCTGATGCAGTGTCAGGCTGAAGCAGTGTCAGGCTGATGCAGTGTCAGGCTGAAGCAGTGTCAGGCTGAAGCAGTGTCAGGCTGAGGCAGTGTCAGGCTGAAGCAGTGTCAGGCTGAAGCAGTGTCAGGCTGATGCAGTGTCAGGCTGAAGCAGTGTCAGGCTGATGCAGTGTCAGGCTGAAGCAGTGTCAGGCTGAGGCAGTGTCAGGCTGAGGCACAGCAGCGTTAGCTGCAGCGTCGCTGGCCTCCTCCTCATCATCATCATGCAGCTCTTGGTTGTTCTCACTGCCAGAAGAGTCAGCAGCAGTGTGGATGCGCTGGTGTCGATTCGCACTGGCCTGGGACGAGTGGCACACGCCACACACGGGACATGCGCGCCTGATCATTTCAGGTTGTGCAAGTGACGGACAGTTGATTTCAGCACCAGCAGCAGCACGAGCAGAGCACCGCGACATCTAACATCCTGAGCAGCTAACATCCTGAGCAGCGAACATCCTGAGCATCTAACATCCTGAGCATCTAACATCCTGAGCCAGCGGCAGTGTGCAGTGAGGCGACATTGAGGGACGTGTGATCACCCATGGGGCAGGCCGCCATGTCAGACTCACCGCTGAGCTGCGTGACAGCTGCAGTCAGGGGCACGGTGGCATGCAAGTGACACCTCTCCCACAGTCCCACTTCTCCCGCTGGTGCTTGTCTGACAGCTAGAGACACTGAACTGTGGCTCATTTGAAGGCCGATGTAGACAAATTATTATTATCGAGGCTTCACCCCCCGCCCCCCCCCCCATACGCAAGCGAACGCATTTGGGTTAACCCCCCTCCCCCCTCCATGCGTACGTACTCAATGGATGGCCCCTAATCTGTCGCATTCAATATTTAATGACGTTCTGTAGTGGTGTCTGGATGAGACGAACAGGTTGCGTGATTTTAAGTTGAGCTAATTGTGGTTTAGTGTCGAATATATACGATTCAAATATTTAGTATTGTACTGTACAGCTAATGTTCGGTACATAATGGTAATGATATGTAATATGAGACTGAGCTCGCTGTTATATTTACACAGTGCAGTCTCAAGAGCTCCGTTTGAAATGATTTTAAAACGGGGACATTTCCACTGCTTCTTCACGAGTGGCATTATCACGCTGCCCCTCCGCTTCTATAATTAGATCTTGCTTTGAAAAACGTGCTTTGTATATTTCTTCGATTTTTTTCCATCTTTAAAAGGTGACAGCAAAGCTTATAGAATCGCTGATGACGTCAACTGTGCCAATGAATAATGTGAATGAGGTTCTGCAATACACGAACTCGCTCGGAGCCCTGGCAATGTCTCCGTCTGCATTCACAGTCGACAGCATGGTAAGCAACTCTCACAGGCCGTCTGATTTATAACCCTCGTAAATTAACACCACGAAACGTTTAAAACTGTAAAACTCTTAATTCTTACATTTAATAGCGTGCTATATTAATCTGAATATTTATTTAAATTAAACTTTGTCAGTGGATGTTTCTGCATTTCCTTTGTGACTTTTAAGAATGCCATTGTTCAAGGAGCTAAGACTGCCGTGGAACAAATGGAGAGGCTCGTGCACGTGGGGAAAGCCAGCCTGCTGAAAGTGTCTGATGGTAATAGGAAGCACTCTGCATTGCTTCACATTGCCACGTTACGAGTTCACGAGGCGCGCTTGTTTAAAATCTCTCTCTGATGGATCATTGTAGGGTTAGACAATTATTTACGCTGTGAGCTCATGGGAGGTGTTTTGACAGACGTGCTGCGTGTGGTTGGAGGTGCTCTGGAAATATCCCTCTCCTCGACGCAGCATTCCAACAGGAGCCCAGCGAATGGCTCTCAAGCGGAACCTGCAGGGGGCATGCACGTGGTGCGTGCTGGATACACCTTCGACGACAGCTCGACATGTCTTACGATGAGTGTTCCCCTTCTGCTCCTCCTTCCTCTTCTTCCAATCCAGTCCCTTGGCACAGGCCACTGGGTGCATCGCAAGCAGAAGTCCACCCTTGTGGGCGATCACACCCCGCCTGCTCCCACGGCATTCCTCTTCACCCCACTGCCTCCTCCTCCTCCTCCACTCCGCCAATCCGTCTCTTCTCTGTCGTCCTCTGCGTCTCTTATCTTCCACTCGCGTCGCCACTTTTTTTTCTGGATTCCTGTTTGGTGGAATTCTTCTGGAATGACGACAGCATGGCGTGGCGTGAGTTCCACAATTGTCTATGATTAGTCAATCGATTTTTAAGTTTATTCTAATCACTTCATTTCTTATTCTATCCAACATTATTACTCTGAGGTGGTACAAGTGGATGTTATCTACAGTCAAAGGTACCACTGCATTAGTATTTAAGTCATATACAGTCGCCGTTAGTTCTCAATACACAACATCACAGAAGCAACATAGCTTATAGGTAAAGCGAGAGCAACACTGCCCCCATGGTTAATTCGTTCACCTTTGCTGCATTGCATTTACACATTGTGGAAAATTGGAATAATTTAGTTCCAACATGCAAAGCGTGAAACTACTGTTATGCGATGCCAGCCGTGATTCTAGAACACAGGACACACGTGAGCATTGAGGATGGCACCACCTATAATTGGGGGCACTCACATTCACACATCCAATGTCAAACTGCACGAGTGGTCTCACACCAGAGCTTGGAGGTCAGATTTCAACCTTGACTTAAAGCTTTTGTGACTGCAGGCATTTATATTCTTTGGGTCTTTCGGTAAAGTCACGTAGATAGGTTCAAAGACAATAACAAAACAACAACGACGTTTCGATCGCAACACAAACGGTTGTGTTGCGATCGAAACGTCGTAGCTGACTTTACCGAAAGACCCAAAGAATATGGTCAGATTTCAGCTGTGTAATTTCCGGTGACATCTGGCACGACGAACGAGGCGATGGTGAGAACAACAAGGGCGCTACAACGAGAAGGGACATCGGAGAGCTTCACAGCACGGCCGTAAATATCTACGCAACGGTGATGATGTTTTGTTGTCCACAGAACGCTGGCTTTGACGACCTGTTCAACACCTTGCTGCAGGTGGGGAAGCTGCACACTAAAAAGGCTGTGCCAGGAGAAAAGCCAGTCTCCTTAAGTGCCGGCCCCGTCTCAGCGGAGATACAGACGATCGCCGGTTCTAAATTGTTTGATGCATCTTGGGAGACGGTGGAGGCGAAAGCCTCCCTGGAGCCCAACGTGAATGCAACTGGCACGGTGCAGCCCACAGACAAGGTCAACGTTCAGGTATAGAGAAGTGAGAAACACCGTCGTGATTCGGTTTCAAGTGTCACCTCTGGGCAGCGTTGGATGAGCATCGTTGATCCCACCAATGATGTCAGACGGACTTCCGCTAGAGGGAGCTCTAGAGAGCCCTTCTGGAGTGTATTTGGCCTACTCTTCCACGCTGGCCAGATGTTTTGCAAAGGTGGAAGTACCCACACTTCACACCACCACACGCAGCCTGCCACTTAGCTGACTATGGTGTTCCAATTTATACTGTTGGATGGACAGAGGTGGTGCGATTTAAGAAACCCACCTTCAGAGCAATGATGTATTGTACTTATAGAAGGCAGTACAGCAAAATAATATCTGACCTTCCTTCAAGTGTTTTCCCATACAGATTGTATCCAGAAACTCATGTTTTCTCTCAAACACTGAAAATCCAGATTGGTAAAATATCCCAAAGTTTTACCCTCCATGAAATGAGTTTCTAAACCCTAAATGGGTTTCCCGTGTTAACAGAGAAATCGTATTGTATATGTATATAACTGCAGTCTACCAAATGTACTCCGTGATGCAATTGAATATCAATGTTAGAGCATAGCTGAGAGCAGGGCCAATAGTATGGGAAGCTGGGGTGAGCCATGCACCACCAGATGTCGCTTTCGGCCACCCAAGTCACTGTCACGGTGCCCCCACACGACGGCTTCACTGCCCCCCCCCCCAGCCCCCCATCCAAGAGCAGCTGGAGCCAGCTCTGGCTCAGAGTGCTCACGCAGCCGAAACTAAGCACCACAGAATGTACAGATACCAGGATACGTAATACACAACGGTGACATCACAATACTTGATGAAATAGGCAAGTAATGTTATTACAAGTCACATTCTGTGACTATGACGGTAGAATTTTTAAGGAAGAGTAATTATTTCAAAGTACCATCGTCTGCTTTGCATCCACATCTGTAACCATATGTATTAAAATCACAATAAATGGGGAGTTTTTTAAGTGACGTATAAAAATCCACACACAGCAGCATAACGTAATATAAGATAAGTTTCACTTGGAAATGCAGTTCAAAAGAGATTATTCAACAACTACACATAAAACGGGTGAAGTAATTGCATTTATATTAATTTGATGTTTTTGTTTCCTGAAGATTTGGTCTTTCAAATCAGATCCACTGACGACCAACAATGGCGCTGCGCCAAACAGTGCGGTGGCCAGCTTACACGTGTCCGCCACACAGAAGGACTTAAACATAACCTCTGCCACAATCACCGTGGCCAATAATGGAGATGCAGCAGGACAGGAGATCGACTTTTTCCTCAAGCACAACGAAACGGTTTGCGTTAAGAAGCTTACTGTGCACAAGCCTGGGACGGCAGTGATAATGGAAGTGCTTTCCAGTGACAGCCTAGTGGAAGGGCTTGAGATTTTAGTATGGCAAGGCAGGTTGCCTGGACTGGACCCTATAACATATGACCACCACTTCATGATTCAGCTAAATGCAGTGGCCACTGATGAAGATTTGTCCTCAAGGAACAACACGAGTGACGTTCAGGACCACAGACCAAATCACTTTTTTATCCCCAGCAGCGATACGAAAGCTGGCGAGTATTACATTGGCCTTCGGCACAACGGTGAGCATTGTGCGGGAAATGCGTAATAACTCCGTGTTATCTACAAAGGCTACACGTGAAGATAGCGTTGTCATCTGTCACAAAAGTTCACGATGTTTTTTTCTAATTTTTGCACAGTAAAGTAAGTGTATTTGTATATCTGTTCCACATTAAATATGAGACTATGTTATCGTTTGTGATGGCACATTACAGGCTTTGTTTTGTTGGCTTAATGCCATTCATAGTAAGGAGAGGCTCTCTTACATATTGTGGCATTGCCAATATGTGTAGTGCTAACTTTAGTCTTTTTGCAGGTTTTATTGCGTTTTCTTTCATTCTGCACATGAATACCCAACGAGGATTCTGGCAAACATCCCAAACAAAACCCTTGTGAAAAAGTATTGAGATTCAGAGATTTTAGTATTATCTAAGCCTGAAAATAACATGCATATACATTTTAACTTTATTTATGTGCATATTGCTTGTCCACAAATGGTCCCTAGACGAGGTTATTGGTAATACTGGGTAATATTGTGTTCCTTTGTGCACTGTGGGTGGTAAATTTGACCCAGATACCGGGACTTAACTTAAAGATAGCTTTGTGACCTCTAGCATCTTCACCTTTAGTACCCAGCCTGCACAGCCTGCTGTCATGTTTACATGTTCATGGCATGGTGAATTAATGGTCACATTCCTTTGCCAGTAATTTAGCCCCACAAATTCCTGGGGAACTACTGTGTGCATGAACGTGGCCACACCGGTTGTGGTGCCTTGGATTTCTTGACAGCCAGGTTCATGCCCCAAGAAGCACTTTCACTTTTTATTCACAGTCTCAATCTGGCTAGGTGGTTCAGCGGCAGAGCGAGTGGCTTGCAATCCGATGCTTATGAGTTCAAATCCTGGTTATGGGTTGACTCGGCCCATCATCCCTCTGGGGTTAATAAAATGGTTACCACGTTGTGGGGAAGTCAACGGTGGTTGTCCTATGGATAGACTCAGCCCTGCCATAGTGATGTGTAATTTCCACCAATGGCTCAGGGCGGTGAAGAGAATATGAGCACCGTCTCAATGTTTACTTGAGCAGGAAATTGACTTTTTAAGGGACACAGGAAATTTACTTTTTATGGAACATTACTTCTAAGGCATAATCCTCCAAACAACTGTAGGGACGGGATGTCGTGATATCTCTCCAAATGCGATGTGTTTTGTTTCTGTTTTGATATATAACATCGATACTGTGCCGTTTTATGTTGTGTTGCATCCTGGTTATGTAGGAAGTAGTGGGTCTGTCAAGTTGAATGTATGGACAGCTGCCTGCAAAATATGGGACAGTGACCATAACCAATGGAGCTATGCCTTGGCACGTGTGAGTCGTCATTCACAAACAATGATTGTACAACATCGTATGTATTATGTGTGTTAGCAATTCGAGAGAAGTAGTGAACACATCGCTATGTCAGTTTAACACGTAGGCTTTCGCGACCAATATCATCCATAATACAGTGTTTTTGGGTTAGATCGAGTAAATATATAAATGTGTCGTTAAACCCGCTACCACCCGACACAGCCAATTAGTAAGGTATGTCACGTAAACAGAACATGCCAATTCGTTACATTGTTACGTACTGTACTCCTTTATGTAATCATTTATTTTTCAGAACAGATCTGCATTGGGTCGGTTCACGTGTCTGGTTATAAATTAAGGATATGGAGAGCAATGACTATTTATAAAGAATGCATGTTTATACTGCAGCGACGAATTTGAACCAAAATTCAAGTTGTACTATTGAATGTTTTTTAATTACCGGACTAGGTAATGCTGCAAACATCAACATATAAAGTTAAGCACAACAACCTCTCACGGTAGAATACGAATCGTCCAAAAACAAGTGTGAAAATGTCTTAAGATTTCAATGCATGAATGAGAACATTTACAAAATTTAGTCACTACTGTGCTAGGTTTGATTACATTTGAAATGTTGTTACCAGTTCTACGCCTGCTATTACAAACACGTTGTTATTATTACTGTGATAAATATTGTTGTAAAAGAATGCTTATTCTGCATTCAGTTTTGTTTGCTTTAAAAAGAAATTGCATTCGTCCATGAGAATGCTGCAATGTTAACCAGTCTTCGTGGCAGTGATACATCCACACGAATGCATATTGTGTTGCAGGTCCATCCTAGCACTACAGTGCACAGCACTGTGTGTGAGTTTAAACCTGACAGTCGTGTCAACTTTGGCAAGGAAAAGGTCTTTGTGGGGGCGGAATTCCTGACTCCAAACGCCATCGATTTCTCCACCGTCTTCTCAAAATTTGACCTGGTGTCAAATGGTGCCGTGTTTTCCACTGTCATAATGATTGTTCTGCTCTACTTGTTGGTTTTATTGTGGGCAAGGAAGGCGGATGAGAAAGATAATGAAAAGGTACAAACTCCACAGCTTGTTTAATGTGCTTGATAATCATCAGAACAGTTTTGATGTCTGTATTTGCCTGTGACCAAGTAGCCTAAAATGCACGCAACCTCGGCTCATCTCGGAAACTAAGCAGAAATGAGGCGGCTGCATGTTGCTTGGATTGGTGACCACAGCAATGTGTCACCACATTGCCATGGGGCTTCTCGACTGGCACATCTCCACTTCCATCACCCACCAGGCCACAATAACCGTCACGACACACACTGGGGTGTGGGGAGCCCCTTAATCTGCAGTGGATTAACTCAAAGCCTGTACATGTTACACGCACTTATAGCTGAGATATCCAATGATTTAAGTACAATACATCCATTACTCTATCGGTTATCTGTGCGAATACTTGACTAATGGATAAAATTAATATAGTTATCAAAAAAAAGTGTCACCGCTAGCCCCGGAGCTGTGGTGAACTAAGAGTGACATTGAAATCCATGTTGTCTCGTCACATAAGTTTGATATGCATTACTTTCACCAATTTTTACCCAGTGTGGCCAAATATACCATTCTCAGAATCAGAATATTTATATATCCTGGAGCAATCCGATGTGCTATAAAGCACTTTTTCAAAGATGTCCACAGATTCTTAGTATGAGACCCACGAAGTCAGACAATAAAACTAGGTTGGCCAATAAATTTCAGACATTTTTTGGGTTAAATTCAGGTTAGTTGGGGTTAAATATATCAACCAATGACCTCAAATAATAAAAAATGTTACACTGGCGCAGTAAAAAATTTAAAGGCCATCTACTTTATATTGCAAACAGATGGCACAAGCTAAAAAAGTTGGAATGGTGAAATGTTGAATATTATAATATCACACATTTTCAACTTCCATTGTACTTCATGAGTCAGTTTTAAATTCCACAGGGCAAATATTTTAACACACAGTGCAGCACATTGTTAATTGTCTTGCCAAATAATATGGACTTCTAGGGCTTAGAAGTAATAATATTGCTACAAGAAGGGGTTATAAAGCAGTGATGTTAGGACAGCATTTGACTCAACGCAGTTTCTCCTAACAAAAACTATGCACGCCCAACACGTTCAACATCTCTGCCCATGGTGCATGATCTGTCTCTAGATGTGTATACACTGTAATGTAATGATTGATTCCGTAGCTTAGTTGAGATATGACTCCACGTGTGACCAAGATAACCGTTGCACCTGAGCCTTTTAATCACCTGTGCCTGTAACACATTTATAAAATACAATCACAAAGCGAGTGCAATTCCTACAGCATTCTACAGGACGTGACTTGATGTGCGACAATGTAATAATTATCATCAGCTCGAGTTAATCCCTTGCAAGATGAATGCTTCCCCAAGCCACCACGATCCTTCACGGCCCTGCGAATCAACACACCACGCAGCAGCTGTACTCCCTTCCTGTGCCTGCCACGCGGGGTTTATTCTCGACCGCCAGTCGTCCTGTCCAAACAGAGTTATTTTCTTCAACAGTCAAAATTACGTCTCTAACCTGCATGTGTTCGCCAATCCATGTGTTCCTCATTATGTCACTCAATTTAATCCCAAGAATGCCATCTCTGCATGCATCTTTGCACACGTTTGACCTTTAGTCCCATCTTTTTCATCAGTGTCCATGTATCTGTTTCGTATGTGATAGCAGGAATGTTTCCAGGTAATTTTTGAAAGACATTGCCAGTCGGTGCTCATTGTCGAGTTGAGCTTCACGAGAGCACTCCATCCACTCTCATCCACCACCTCTTTACTTCATCACATTCATATCCGTCCACTTTAAATAAGTGCCCAGGGTATTCATATCCTGGCGTGTTTCAAGCTGCGTCCCTCTGATGTATCTCGCGCAGTGTTTATATAATGTGTTGCACGTGCTGTTTTGCTCTGCTCGGATATTTAACGTACAAAACAACTTCCTCCTCGCAGAATACGATTTTGTGCCTTTTTGACGAAACGGACAAGTGCTCGTGTAAACTGCTCCTCAGAATTGCGACAAGCAACAAAGCAAGCGGCCGTACAACGTCGCCTGTTTCTTTCATCCTTCATTATGCAAAGTTTGATTCTGGAGTTTGTGAGCTCTCCCACCCATTGCTGAAGGTAACCACGTTGCTCATTACAAATGTATACAGTGAATATGCCTACAGTACTTTTGTATCACTTAACAATGTCAAAACAATGTGGTTCATATTATGATTACGCTTTTAGGTACACCGTTATGTAAAACAAAAAAATAACCTCTCTACATCATTTGGATTTTGTAAAAACATATAGTGGAAAACCTAGGGTCATTTATACCATCAATACTTTGCATGCTGTTACCGAGTGTGAAATTGTTGTGCTATCACCAGGAATTCAAGAGGAAACAAGTGTACAACTTCATATTTGCAATGCCACACTGCAGCGGCAAGCCCACGTGCATGAGAATCTGGCTGGGCTGCGACGGCCACACCGTCCCCTGGAATGTCAGCGAAGTTTCTGTTTTGGATTTGCAAAAAAGAAATGTGTGAGATACATTGTTTGGCCTTTTATATCACCAAGTGCTGTTTTAATTGTGTACAGTATGAAAATCATTCTTTATGCTTGTATTATCATTTATTGACAACTTTCTCTTCATGAAAGGCATGTGATTATCTACTGCAGTATGCATTTAGTCTGCAAACACTCAGTGTTGTCACTTGCGGCTTTGTTGACCACACAAGAAGAAGGGTCACGATACGGCTGTCAGCGTTAATGATTTTGCCTGAACATTTGTCCAGTAACAGACTCATAGAAGCTTGTGTTGTAAGTGTTTTGTTGAATAGCTGCACTTAACCATTTCATTATTTACTTACATCCCTTTGCCGATCCACTGCTGGATGAAGGCCTCCCTATGCCATGTGGGATTTGTTTGACCATACTTCACCATTCTGGTCCGTGCTGATTGCGAAAGGGGTGAAGTTATGGTGACAGCATAACCGGGATATACGTTGGGACGGGGGGGACGAATAGAATGATATCTTCTGCATATCATATCCATTCTGCATAATTATTTACATTTATTTGTAAGGCGCCTTCCACAAATGTCCACCACAATGGGAAATAGCATTGTTGAATCAAATCCAAATCATGACAATTACTTGAATGGTGGAAGTGAATAATTATTCCTTATATGGTGCATTTTAGCAAGTAGCTCTTAACATATACAACTGTATATTAGTACTGCATGAGGAGCCTCAAAGTGTTGTGTGAGTGATGAATATCGGTATACTTGCACCAGCAAATGTGAATAAAGTATCACGGCCTCTGCAAATACAAAACATCTCAGCCAGGTACCCAGTGGAAGTTGCCACTCAAATGTCTAGAGGTGTAAAGATTGGTTGGCATGAAGAGATGGGCTGCGTCAATCAAAAATATGTGATATTGACTGTGTCTGATGCAAGCGATTGCGCTCAACAACAATGTATGACCACCAGTAAGTGTGCCAGCCTTGCGGGAATATCTAGAATAGTTCAAAATGATCATCTTATCTGCGTGGTATAATAAATGCAATGTAAAAAAAAAAAGATATTGACATTTGAAAGTCGGATGTTGCACGCTGTTTTTGCGAGGGACAGGTAATTATCGCCATGTATTACTTCGTACAATGTTTTTATTTCAGGTATACCTTCCGTGACAAGATGTCCAAGAAGACAGACATCACCATTGGACTGAGCGGCAAAACGCTCGAGGTGGCAGACGACTCCACGCATTTCTCCAACCAGAAGTTGGCCTCGCACGCCGTCAAGACCAATTTCACAGAAGGGCACCTGTGGTCAGTTGAAGCCCACCACTTCTGTAGAGATATTTTTACATATTGATTGACTGATGCGCAATAGATCTAGACTCATAACACCAAAGCGTGTCCATGCAGGTATAGTCTGTTATTAAAAATGTATTATGGGCATTGTGAGCTCCATCGATACAATTATGCACACACCTGAGTGTCATCCCTCTAAAGCTCCACATGTCTTCAACGGCTTCAAAGATTACTACAGGAACAATACATGTTACTGTGGAGGTTGTCGCGGTTGTGCTGTGCAGCTCTCCGATGGGTTCTCTGGCTGTACCACGTGCTACGCAGCACGATGTCCGACGTTTCTCTGGAGAGCTTCGTCTTGCCGAACAACACTTGGAGAGAAACTCTAGAACACATCTGCGAGCTAGCCAACACGTATTGCTTAGTCACATTTGTTAACGTTTTCGTTGTAGGTATTCTGTCGTCCTTCGGCCATTCAAGACGAACTTCTCCCGCGTGCATCGCATCTCCTGCTGCGTCACGCTGCTCTTCCTCATGATGATCGCCAACGCCATGTGGTTCGGCAAGAAGCAAGCGGCCAGCGAGGCGGGCGGAGGGGTCGCGCTGGGGCCGCTGTCTCTCACCGACGTCCTCATCAGCCTCCTCGGCAGCCTGGTGGAGGTGCCCGTCAGCCTCGTGCTCGTGCTCATATTCCTGCAACAGCCGCTCGGGGAGCGAGCGGCCCCCAGGCCAGAAGAGCTCCTGGAGGGGCCCTTGGCCGGGTGGCTGCAGGTTCGTGGGATGGGGCCTCATCGTCCTCGCTGTCCTCAGCTCGGGCTTCTTCACGATTCTCTACAGCATGGAGTGGGGCCCGGAGAAGGCCAACCGCTGGCTCGTTCGATTCCTGACGACCTTCCTCATGTCGGTTGTGTTGATCCAACCGGTGAAGGTGAAAGGACAAAGTCTGGCTTTGAGAATGGCGTGTGTTCGTTTGGTCACTCGTGAGTCATCAAGTGCGGACGATCAAAACTGATTGTGGCATTTTGTTTCTGAAAGACGTAACCGATTTTATTTATGTTTTTTTCCATTTTCGTCTTATTCAGGAAGTCGATATCAATGTTATCTCAGGGATAACATTATTTTCAAAAATTTTACTGAAATATTTAGGTTGCTTTGTTGCACTGCCTCTCTTTAAAAATATATGTTAAATCATGAATATAATAATGATACTCACTGTTAATTGTATTTAGAACTTATTTTTGTGTTTAATTTGTTTTCCTTCCTCCACACCTTCGATTAGCACGGTTGGCTATGTACGGTGTGAAAGAAGTGCCACATACAGACAGACATTATAGTAACTGGTACAGTAACTATTGCTATGTATTTTTTTTTCAAACGTCATTTTATAAATCATTTTTCCAAAGTAGTTAAATGATCATTTATATATTTATTCATACAGAACGGAACATTGAAAATAGTTAATTGCCAATCTTGTAACAACAATATACAGATCTGAATATTGTGATCTGAAAGCTCTATGGGAAGTTTCAGAGCGTTAGGTTTTTGTATATTCCGTGTAAACATGGTAATTGTGCTCAGATGGACAATTTCCCAGGCGTAATTAAATTTGGTCCTGCACTTAATTTGAAAAAAAAAACAGTTTTGAGAATTAACTATTGGTGTAGCTGTCATGCAACAAACATGATTCTCATTAGCAGAGAGGGAAGGAATGGTCTCTGTAGATATGAGGTCACATAAATTCATCTCAGAGGTATCTCTCTGGTGTCCACTTCTGTGGGCTGTTCTCTAACACCGAGGGTTGCACTTTTCCGCGCGAGATCCGAATCCATTCCGTATCTCCTTGCCTGATGCCGCCAGCACAATTGGAGGCACAACATTGCAAAATACTATTTAAAAAATCTCAGGCATGGCAATAATTGGCCTATTGGTCCCCTTAAAGTTACATGAGTAGTTTTTTTTCTTTCCTGCTGCCAACAGATTATTGTCTTTGCAATCATCAAGTTTATAATGTGGAAGTGGAAGAAGGGTACACTCAAAGAGGAGATGTTAAGGCCCTTCTCTGAGCATATTGAAATCATCTACAACTCTGGTCTCAAGGAACCAAACACCGGACAAAAGCAGTGTAAGTAAACAGTCGAACTAATTCGAGCGTGTGCGCATGTGTTTGCTTGTGCAAGGATAGAGACGTTGCTAACTGGAAATGAATCTTTATTTCTGCAACTACGGCGAGTGATATACGTAACGAATCAAATAATTTCACTTGCAAAATTAATCAATGTCAAAATCGCTGTCTTATACAAAACAGAGAAATATAGCAACGCCGCTTAATTGTTTAACTTTCTCACCCACTCTTACTGGACATGTGTAAAAAAAGAGCTTCATGACTCATCAGATTCCTCCAGTATAAATAAAGATTCTGATTCTCTTTCATGTCCGTCTACAAGCGACAAGCTTGCCAATATCACTGAGGGACATCAATGAAGATGACGTGCAGGTCATGGGAGACGTGGGGCCCGCGTCGGGAGACACGGCCTGGGCTGCTGAGCGCACGCGACATCCATCGCTCGCTGGGGGGGCAGCCGCAGTGGTCACGCGGCGACCTGGAGGCGGTGGGCTCCTGTGCCTGAGGCCATTCGGAGCATCACGTCTCAAGGACCCAGAGAGCATGGTGAGAGGTGACCACTTTGCCTTAAACGTGACAAAGTGATGCTTATTTCTCGGCAAAGTATACCATTTTTAATGCTATCGTAACTATTCCGCTCGTTTAACCAGCAAAGCCTGAGTCTCCATTCATACTTTCAAAAGGGTTCTTGCCCAGTTTTCAAAGCAGATGGTGATGTGTCGATCCGTGTCATCTCAATTGAGTAATGTCCAGGTACATTTCAGCATTGGGATGTTAGGCCAATACCAGTTACATTGCACGCATTTGTTTTGCCATGCAGAACAGGGAGAGAAGATTCCAACCCCACACAGAATCAGGAGCTGAACCCAGCCCTTCTTGCCACCCAAATTATAGAGATAATAAAGTCTACACAGTGCTCATTTATTTTCAGCATAATTAAATTAGACTGCATTTGACCTCTCTGGTTCTGTTTTCGGGTTACCCTGTCTGGTGTTGTTGTGTGGTATGATGCCTGACGTTTCGCTCCCAATGCTTCCTGAAGAAATATCCAAACACCTGGCACAACCTGAAACCACATCAGGGAGCTACGCAGGAAATACAAAGATCCCCCGTATAGCCTGAATAGACTGTTGGGACAAGTGCTGTGAGCGAGCACCTATGACGGCCGGCACGGCACACGAGAGGGCGGGTGGCCAGCACCACGCCCGACCGCCTTTGTCTCCCCAGTGGTGATGATTACGCACCGCACCAGGTACTAATTTGAGGCTGAATCGACCTAGGGGAGGCCCAGGACCGGTTCAGATAATCGTCACTGGTGTTGGCCGTGATCGGGAATCGAACTCGGGTCGCCGAGTTCATAGTGCACCGCACTAACCACTACACTACCGGTCCCAAGAGCAATGCAGCACAAGCATGACGCCCTATAAAGAGTGACTGAGTCAGAGTACATCACAAACAAGAGAGCAGCAGGTTGATGGTTGTGCATCCATGTGTTTAATCCCTGGCCAGGGTCCACAGAGCCCATTATCCCTCTCGGGTTGGATGTTTGTGGCTGGGTGGATGTCTGAGAATTCTGCACTGAACATGATTTAGTGTTTAATGTATGCATATTTTAGTTCCATTGAAATTTATACCCAGGACATCAATATAAAACAGTATATTTGTTCAGCACATGCACATTCACAGTTGAATATCCATGCACTTTTATTTAATTTCAGCATGCTTGTGTTTTTAAAAAGGCTTATCACCCAAAAATATAAATATATTTACTACGTCAAATTATAAAAAAAACACAGATTATGTGAAGGTGACTACGTATATATTGGCATAAAGTACTGCATTATAATAACTTGTGTTATGTGTACTCTTCTCTAAAATGCTGTACTTAGATCGCAATAAGACATAGCCATTGCTGATGTTCTCATTGAAATGTTTCATATGATGGTCAATCTTTTGCCATGTAAACTGGTTTCAATTATTTGGCCCTGATGAAAATGCAGAATGCTGTCTCAACTGTTGTTGTAGGACCAGGGGAGGCTCCAGGAAATCATTGAAGAAGTGGCACATCAAGGCACCATCAAACAGCATTGACAAAATAAATAAAACTGCGCTGAATTTTGATGCATTCCAGAATGTTTTGCCAATGATCCCCAGTGGAGGAGAAAAATAAAAAAAACATCTAGTTCCCAAAAGTTCCCAAGACATGAAAACATATCTGCAGCTGGTAGAGATGTATTTAGCATTTGCCCACATACTGGTGGACTTTAAAATATTAGAAATAAAAACAATACAGGGTCCATCCATTTCCCACCATCCCTTTACAAGCAGTAGGAATGAAAGTTGGCACACATATTGACTGTTAAGAAAAGTTAAGAAATCTAAATGGGCCTGGGCTTGGCGCTACGCAGGAACGGACGCAGGCTGGTGACGCAGGCTAACGATGGAGTGGATTAGATCCATGGGCACGCACAACCGCAGAGATGGAGCGATGAAATCCTCCCGTGTGTGGCCACTCGATGGATTGTTGCAACGCAAGATCGTGAGAGATGGTTACAATTTGAGGAGGTCTTCGTCCAGCAGTGGATCGATAACGGCGGATGACGACAATGCTTTGTTTAACGGTATATTGTTTAATCTGTGGAATGTTGCAATATAATTAAAGTGTCCCCATCACTGCGTATAGATAGCTGTATCACAACTCTGATCATGTGATATTAGGACATCAAATACAGGGAGAAAAAAACCATCAGCAATACTATAGTATGTTAAAGTTGTTACATATTATTCATAAAGACATACAATTTGTAGAAACACCATTGCCAAAATGTAACATTAGTTTACCAAAATCTACAGTACCAAGTTTTGCCGAATTTCCATGATCTCTGTGAGCTGGGAAACTACCCCGTCTCTCCGATGCGTGGCTTGTGCCTCGTGGTGTTCAGCATGATGCCTTGCATCTCGATCCACGTCCTGGGAGCTTCATCAGCAACTGGATACCTAGCACGTGAAGCAAAATGTAATTCATATAGCACAATCACAAAGACTCACCCGGTAGTCAATACATGAGCTAGGTTAAGACTTAGATTCAGAACATTGCAGACTGGGTGGATTGATCCACAAGTACCAGCTGATCTGTGATGTTGGGTCCCAGGCACGATAGAGGGATATCATTGGGACTGCCTGGCACCATATTGCCCCTGCGACTTCACCGTTAAACCAGTTATGGCAGATACAGAGCTTTATAAGCTTGAGTATTGACAACATTATCATAATGTGCATGTCCTGTATTCAATGCATAGTTGATTTTGTCCTGTACTGCTGAATGAAGGCCTTCCCGTGCCGTATCAGTGATAGGGGTTGTTTTCCCATACTTCACCACAATGTTGAGTCCAGGTAGCGAAGGAGGAGCCCAGGATTGGTCCAGGTAACACTTGTCACTGATGTCAGATTATATAGCAGCTCAGTGGGATTCTATCGCCGTGCAAGCGTCTGGCCCTTCTCGTGAGTCAGTGTCCACACACTCCTCGCTGGGCCATTTCTAATCTCGTCCGTCTCTAGTTGTGCGCGGGAGGCATCCAGACGCTTCTCACTTCCTCCTCTCCGTCCCTCCCTGCCTCTGGCATCTCCATCTCTGTGTTGCGTCTCTCCTCGTTATTACCTCCCCCATGGTTTGAAAACTAAACTATTTTTTATTTGACTAGTTAAAGCCCACTCAACTGAAAAGCTCTTTTTCAGAAGCGACCTGACCACAAATGATAGCTCAACGAAGTAGCTAAATACTCTTAAACATATGCTCCTAAATGTGGTGGGGGGAACCGAAGGACCCGGAGAAAAATCCATGCGACCACGGGGAGAGAGACACGCAAACTCCAAATAGACAGCAGGAGGCGTCGGGGTCACCATCGAACGCACGACCTCCTGCGTAGCAGGCCAAGGAGTTCACATGGCGGGACCCCCATGAGCACACCTCTGAGTTCCCTGTAGTCACGTCTCTTCACCAGTTTGCCTTTCCTGATCGTCTTCATGGACAACACGTCACACAGAGAGCCGCGTTGTGTCTGTGTGTGACAGCTGCGTTGTGTCTGTGTGTGACAGCCGCGTTGTGTATGTGTGTGACAGCTGCGTTGTGTCTGTGTGTGACAGCCGCGGTGTGTATGTGTGTGTGAGTCTCGTTGTGTCTGTGTGTGACAGTCTCGTTGTGTCTGTGTGTGACAGCTGCGTTGTGTCTGTGTGTGACAGTCTCGTTGTGTCTGTGTGTTACAGTCTCGTTGTGTCTGTGTGTGACAGCTGCGTTGTGTCTGTGTGTGACAGCTGCGTTGTGTCTGTGTGTTACAGTCTCGTTGTGTCTGTGTCAGCCTCGTTGTGTCTGTGTGTGTCAGCCTCGTTGTGTCTGTGTGTGACAGCTGCGTTGTGTCTGTGTGTTGCAGCCGAAGGCGGTGGTGCAAAGCTGTAGAGCACGACACATTTCCAACATGACACACTTGCCAGAATTTAATTGCATGCCTTCAGGTTAGAGTGTATCATAAACATTCTTGCGTATTTTTTTCTAATAATCATATAATTAGGCAATTATGTTTTGCTTGAAAATGTATACCAAATGGTTGCTTTCATTGGAGTTTAAGTCAGCCTTGATTACATTAATTACAGTTTTTAAATATGAAGCCAGAGCCTGGCTTTAATTTACATCACATGTTATAACTGTACTCCATATAGGCAGCATATTTCATTTTGTATACATGCTAAACGCTTCTATCATATAAATTCGTTATTTAATAATTGTGTGGACTTGAAAATGATATTGTTTAGAGCAGTAGTTAGCAAAATGTTAAAATCAAGATAAATACTAATAAATGTTACAATTTGAAGTTTGTGTGCAATATGGTTTAAGTGTAATTTCTCCAAAGTTTTTTCGTGATTGTGATATCCACGTCATGTCATGAGATAAAGAATCCATGCAGCACTCACAAAGCAATCCACATTCCTCCGCATCAGAGTAGAGCCCACAAAGCAGATACCAGAGAGCCACCTCTGATCCACACAGTCGAGGGCAGCTCTGGATGTTGGAGTAATGTTCTTTACATGATGATCAATCCAATATTTTCATTTTCAAAGATGCAATTATCCAGATTAAGTGCGGAACCAAATTTAATGTGATGGTTTTTTTGTGCAGTCATCAGTGACCAGATTGAGCCCATCAGTTCACTTCACTTGAAAACCCTCAACGTAATCACAGGCAGCTCACTGGATCTGAACGCAGCGTTGCCAGTTCAGCGCTCCGACCTCCAAGCCACCTGGTCATCTCAAGCATGGCAATTAGTTTAACTGCTGCATTCACCATCATCATTACTACAACAAAAGCAAGCTTGCTATCATTTCAACACTGTCCAATGCAATATTCAGGCTTTTGAATGGAATTCCAAACTCCAACCCGCGTCTTTGTGGTGCTGTTGGGTCATGCGTGATGGTGCCGCACGGACCTCGCCGCCATGTGGCCGTGTGTGCAGACACCTGCCTCGGCACACCTGAGCTGGCCAACGTGCACGCCACCAGGTGCACGCTGACTCATTGTGAGCTATTTCAAAAGGTGGCAATCAGCGGCATACCTTGAGAGGCATTACGCGACGCTTGAATGTGTTCACTGAGGTGCATTTAACTCGTGAAAAGTATCGCGGAATGCACATGTCCCTTCCCAACATTTTGCTTTTGTTATTGCCAAATCCATGACATAGTTGAATGAAACTCATCAAAACATCAACAGGCCGATGCACACATCTACTTCATGAATGTTAAATTACAAACCAGCCACAGTACGACTATGGCCTTGCAACCGAAACTATGGTCCATGTAGTAAACCACTGTAATCTCCACTCGCTCAACGGAGGAATAGCAGTCACAGGACATGGACTATCTCCTGAAGTCCTTTCGTGGCTAGCAGACCTCAACATCGTCATTGAGCCCCTAAACAGCTTGCCACCAGCAAGTATATAATACTGTAATGTCATTATACATCCGTCTCACTTGTAGCGTATTCATGTCGTGGCTGCTTTCTACTCATTACACGTTTAGCATCCTGATATGCCTCACTACGTGTGCGTATGTCGAACTTATTTCGCACCGTACAGAGAACAACCATGCTCATCTAAACACAAAAACGACTTCTAAACAATGTTGTTTTCAATGTAGATTTAAAAGTGCATAGCTCAAGTGGACTCCGAATATCAGAAGGAAGAATCCACTTTCCACCCCCACAGTTTTGCTTTAGAGTTTATACAGTTCCGTAGTGTGTGAGTGGCAATCCCACAGCACATTGCTTGAATATGGTCCACTAATCTGTATTGATATATCATGAAACAAGGCACACACACACCTCTAATTGACACTAAAATGAGTAGTAGTTTATGAAAATGCCTAATTCAAATCTATATTGATAGGTCAAGTATTAAATGGTTCTGTAATTCGTTGTGAATCTGTTAAAACTATTTTTAGACTTCCAAAGCATGCAAAGCACACCTTTGTTGAGCTGGATTAGACTTGCTGCTAATAAAATCTATAAATACATTTTTTTCTCCCTTGTGAGTTCAAGACCATCAGAAACGGGTTGCGTTATTCTCGGCTCAGGAATGGAAAGTCTTTGACTGATGATGCCTCATTAAAGGCAGAAAATTTTGACAGGAAATGGCCTTCTCAGTCACAACGGTTTCCACCAATAGCCAAAAGTAGCGCCTATAACCCTTACCCGAGACAGAATGTCTTAGGGCACAGTTGGTCAACCCATTATCGTGACATTTACGTCAAATGATATTTAACCATGTACCGGCGTGTAAGCGACATAAATTAATTGAAGTGCAAGACACGGAGTCATTATGAAGTAATATTGGCAATAGGTGGTGTTGAGACTATAAGAAGCTGGCTAAACATTATAACAGAAGCCTAAAAAGTGGAATTTATGTTTATTTATGTTAAAATTGTAGAGTGTATTTGTTAACTTGTAAAGTAGAGAGTGAGTTTGTCAATGTTCAAAATAACAGATCATTTATTTCCCTTAAGGTAGACATAAATCTGACGACAGCTGGCAATTTCACAATCGTACCCACTTCCATTGCATAAATACACGCCTTCTTCAGGGTTGCTTCCCCTGCTTTGTGACAGGAAAAACAAATAAGAGGCAGGCCACGGAAAATGACAGAGGAAGTTGTTAAGCAAGCTCAACGGTCAAGGTTACCTCAGTGAAACGTGCCCTTTGTCTGGAAAGAAAAAAAACAGGGCACGTTGTACTCGAAGCAAACAAAAAAACTAAATTAATATCAGGAACAGCAAGGATTCCTACGACAATGGATGTGTGCAAAGATGGCCAATTTAATTGCGGCAGACAACCACGCCACGTTGTGTGCCTGCAACTGGGGCCAGGTCGCCACGGGGACGCGCAGGCTTCGGCCTGCTCGGGGTCTCGGCTCGTGAGAGGCCCCCATCAACATGTTGGCCGCTTTATCATGGCTGGAACGAAATACTGTGTAGCACCATGATAAAACCCTATCGTGGAATTTGATCATTAAAGACTATATTACTACCAATTATAATGATGTGCCCAAATTACGTACATTTTATCTTTTTGGACTTTGATTAATCTTTACTATTTATTTATCAAAAAAATTTAAATCTAAAACTGAAATCACCAAAGTAAATAACGATTAAGTGTTTGTCATTGGACATGGATTGTGGTGAAACAGAGAAGGGAAAGAATTGAATGTACAGAGATGGGACCTCAACATTTATAACAGCCCCAGGTCCCACGAAACAGAACACCTGAACAGGTGGGGAGGGGTTCAGCCATGCCACCCTGGGAGAGAGTTACAAAGTCCGGATGTTTCTACCAAAGCAATCTCAAGCTAAAGGGGCTTTGCCAAAGAAGATTCATGAGCTTGGATGCTGAAGCTGTACTTTGATGAAAGCAAATAACTTGTGTAAAGCTTAGTGCAGCTTCACGGCAAAGGCAAGGCAAAATAAAGATCAGGCATGGGTGGAGAGACGGGCCTAACCTCAAGCCCTGAATAATATCACCCGGACTATATAGTGTCATCGTGGTGTCTTTATGTTGATGTTGTGGCCCTGTTTGTGGTGGGTTTTAAGGACCACCCATTACTTCATTGGCCCCTATGGTCGTTTCTCGAGGCAAACTGTTGTCTCAAAAGCATTGTCTTTCCTGGTGCACTACTCTTTGCTGGACATTTTTCATGTTGCATTAGTTTTCTTTTCAAGTCTAAAATAACCATTTGGCAACAATTTTATATTCATTCATCACATTTATTGGTAATAAAAAAATAGTTTCTGGACATGGACAACATTTGCTTGCGTATGGGTCAGGAAATGCTTTATCCGTCATGCAACATATTACATTTAAAATATAGGATTTTCCGTTCCTGAAAAAGCTCCCTAGCACGTGGAGCGAAACGTCGGACATCGTCCCGAACAACACGTGGCACAACCCGAGCACAAACCAGAGAGCCGCATAGCACAACCACGAAAGCCGAATCTAATCGTTTGATATTCATATAAGTGCAGAGTTGCATCCAACCTGTTACAATGGACCAGACTTTTGGTTCTTAAAATACAACTTTTGGATGGTTATCCACTATTGGCAGACTCGTGTGCTCTTTGGAAGTGTGACATGGGATCTGTGTTCATATGCGGATATAATAAGTAGCCCTGTGTCTTCTACATAAGGGGATGTGTTTCACACACACATAAGCAAAACAACTCCGATTTGGCAGCAGAAAGGAAATACGCTTACAAGTTGTGCCTTCACTATATATCGCATGCTACTGAGCTTCCAGATAATTTCATTGTTCACACACCGACAAAAACGAAAAGACTGTTGACATATAATTCCTATTTTTCATGAAGAATTTGGAAAGCTGCCATCATGTAAGGGTTAGCAAACTAGACTTGCAGTTCAGAGGCCGCCGGTTCGATGTAATCTCTCTGCGCGGCAGTTTAAACAATCACCAGGTTCTTACATCCCCAGGCCTCTGTCTGCCCAGCAGTGCGTTGTTAATGCAAGGTCACGTGTCGTGGGCTAAAGTGTGAGTACTCTCACCTATTCTAAGACGTCTGGACAGTGTGGAAGAGTAGGCCAAGTACCCTTTCTAGAGCTCCCTCTCGTGGAGGCGCTTCCTCCAGCAGCAGTGTGAGCAAGCGATCTCAGTACTGCATGTTTAACTTCACTTTTCATACAAGAAAATATGCAAAAGTTATCTCGTTGCTTAACATTAATAGATTGTACAGGGCAATAGAAATGTACAGTATGTTTTTATAACGCTGAACCCTCGGAGTATTGTTCTGTATTTATGCTAACCCTTGATGCAAAGAATATACGTTGTAGCTTTTCTCCTTCTGCCATGTTTCGGGGTCTACTTGTGTGGGAGTATGGACACTGCAGGCCATGTGGAATGCATTAGTTTAATATTTACTCGCAGAACTCTGCATTTTGGCTCATTTATCTCCCCAGAGCTATTCCACATCCCCTGCAAGAGCCATTGAGAAGCTTCTGACACGTGTGCATCCATGGCGACCTCGCAGAGTTTTTACAAAACACTTTGATAGCTCATGGAGGACGCTCAGAGTGTGCGCTCGTTCCTTCCCCATCGAGACGCACAACATTCCCAGCGATAAGGCGCACAGCTGCCGCCGTGCATGGCCCCACTCGTGCACAACCACGCGGTCGTGGCGTGCGCATCCTCGCTGCTGCTGCTGCCTGTGTGTGTCTGTGTGTGCCTGTGTGTGTCTGTGTGTGTGTCTGTGTGTGCCTGTGTGTGTGCTTGTGTGTGTCTGCGTGCCCGCGTGGGTGCTTCTTCTGACTGACTGCCTTGTGGG